AAAAAGCTTCCGATTGTGTTTCCCTGCATCCATAAGGATGCCAAAGGTCCACAATGTCAGTAAACTGAAGTTGGAAGTGGATATTGATGGCCATAATAAAACTATTGCCAGAAAATGTTCTTGGTCAGATTATAACAACTATTGACTTATAGACTATATCCCATTCGACTTGGTCAACACCTGATGACACAGTGATAATGACATAATTTACAGCCATCAGTAATATATTCGCATGATATTCATTAAACTTTGTCTGAACACATTTTCAGGTGATCAGTTCAAAAATATATTGTTGGATCTACAACTAATTCAATTTGTAGAGAGAAGTCACATTTGTATATATCAACAGCTATGCTCAAATACGAAAGCATATCTTAGTTTCTTTCTTTTTGATAACTAAATGAAAGTGGTATGATAAAAGTGGAATATTACAACACACGACTTAGTCGCAGCAACTATATCGCAGCTAAATAATACTTCAAGAACCGTAAAAATCTATAATCATGTAATTTCCAAAAGTTTCTCCCGCAATCTGCATTCATATATGAATAGTTCACAGCAACTTGGTCCCTTAGATGTTCTTGTTTCAGAGAACCAATACTTACAGTTTTTGGATTAGAAAAGTAATGCCGACTCAATGAAGTAGAAATAAACGTCAAGACAAAGTTACCTGAAATATCCGCGTCACTTCTAAGTAGGAACGTACACACACGTGAAGACACCTGTTGGGATTCTGGGGCATACTTGGTCCCCATTGCCCCATGATATTAATTAGAATCGACAGAAGAGGATTGGGTGGTTACAATGGGTGACCTCCCTTGGTAATGACGCTGTCAACCACTGACTTCACTTGGTGGGATTCAAATTGTTTGGCCAAATCGGATGTAGATAGAATATTGCTGACGAGTTCACTCAACGTGGAAGTATGTCAAACGTAAACCCGTAATTATTGGCCTCTCAATTTTTTGCCGGAATCCCAAAGACGCCATCACAACCATAGTCACAAGAAAGGCTAAATGATGCCATTCTTTTGGACGATTTGTTGCCCCTCCTACGGGGAACCTACTGCACAAGGTAGCAAAACTATACCCTAGGCCATTGAAAGAAATCAAATGACTTCAGCAACTGTTGGTGATGGATGGGTCTACAAACACTGAGACCACAGTATCGACAAGAGAGTAGAGCTCTTGGTATTGCTTTGAAACATTTGGCCAAACCAGACTTCGCTAAATCAGATAAGGACCGCATGTTCCTGAATTAGAATTTTGCAAACAAAGGGATTGTCACTTTAAATTCAAGACACCCTAAATGCAAATATTACAAATATCAGGAACCAGACTGTTTCCTTTTCCTAAACACCATCTCATCCAAGTTGTTCAAGTCGGGTGGACTTTTGTGTTATGTTTGTCCCCCTCAAGGGAATTCCAGGATAGTGTATATCCCCTGTGTACCATGTTTGATCCAGTACCAAGATAACAACAGCCAACTGATGAACACACCTGTGACCTCAGGCAATCTGGGATTCAAACTCACTCATTCACTCACAAACTCACTCACTCAATTAGATATTTGCTAACTCTCTCGCTTGTTGACATCCAATGTAGCAAGCTCATTACACACCAAAGGCGTGGGTTCGCTGCCCCACATGGCTACAATGTGTAAAGACCATTTCTGGTGTCCCCCCACCGTGATATTGCTGGAATATTGCTAAAAGTGGTGTAAAATCATACTCACACACTCCAATGTAGGAGGTGAGGTGAAATTGGGTTTAACGTCGCGTCCAAGATTATTGCACTTATATAGCGACGTGCATGTACGTGTGAGTGTTTGTGTGGCTGCTTGTACTAGTCCGGACTGATGTCGATTTATAGCTCCAGCTCACTGAGATACCATGCCGCAGTTTAACATGAATACCCCACTCAGACACAGTGAACTGACTCCGAGCCGACCAGTCCTTGTTTTAGCCCCTTAATGCCGAGCGCCGGACAGGGTAACAACAAGTACCATCTTTTAACGTCTTTTGGTATGACGCGGCCGGGGATCGAACCCCTAACCTTCCGCTCTCAGGGCGGACGCTCTACCACTAGACCACGGAGGCGGTCTCCAATGTAGGAAACAACAAAAGAAAGAGAGAAGCTATGTCCTTGAAGGTATCCATTTTATTTTACACATATCAATACACTGAACACAGTTAGTATAATGATGTTGGACTTTTAACAGACAGTTGAACAATTCCTGGTTCAAAACAATAACCAAGTTTAAATAATTATCTAAAAAAAGATATTTCAAAACACAATCAGCCTTTCTTCAAACAGGTTCAAGCCATCTTGAAATTGATGTTCTAAACATCTATTTAATGTTTGTGTTTTAATTTTTGGTAACTGCATGATCACGTTATTACTTATATCACAGACTTGATCAGATTGTAATGAGCTTGTGCAGAGGCAAGTGCATTCCTAGAGCCATATTAAACTAAGTCCAAATAATCACTACATTTTTACAGAATTATCTTACAAGGTATGAAGTTAAATAAAAGGTATATACATATATTAGTGCCTTTGGTCAATAAATACTATAAATATTTGATTTGATAATTAAAAATATAACTCCTGCCCATAATTATAGTACAGAACATTTTGAATGCCTGCTATGATACAATAAGCTCCCTTTCCCTAATAACAGCAACACCAGATCACAAGCCCTCAATCCATGTTCCACAAAATGATCTTAGCTCTATGATGATCGTGAACACAATGTTAAAGTATGGGAGTTGCAATCGCCTTAGCTTTATGATCGCTCTGTGGAACGGGGCTCATGGTAGTTAATTATTTATTGCTGTAATTGCATATATAAAAGTATAAGAGTAGGTATGAGGGGGGTGTTTGGAAAAAACAAAGTTTTAGCAATGCATGTGGTCACTGTGTATTCAGGAGAACTAATGCTGATTGTGGCATATGTTACTATGCTATATGCTGACTACACATTGCTCGTAAACATTGCAGCAGATGGCAAGGTAGTCCTGCACCATGACCGTGGAATATATTTATTTTATGAAAAAAAATATAATCTAGAAACGCATACAAAAGCAAGTCTAGCCAGCCCTAGCTAGCTCTATTCCAGCATAGGATTTTTTATTTTATTTTTAGAGTCAAGAAGGATATTGTGTAATATAAGATTTCAGAGACTAAATGTTAGTCTAATGCCAAGGATGTTGTGCAGAATGCGGGGAAATTTGAAGTAGCTGATAAACAATGCAAAAGTTGATTAGGCTTTTGGGGGTAACTATGCTTACAGATTATATTCCACAATCTTGGGGTCAAAATAAAAGTAAAATTTGAATATGTTTTTTATTAAGTAATCACAATTTTGTTAGGGGAAATTAAAGAAAACATCAATTAAAAGAATTTAAACTTTAAGTGAGAAAATTCAGACTTTTCTTATTCTTCTTATAATTTTAACTTTATTCCACATTTTTGAAACTTTGGAACGGTAATCAATACACCAGTTTATTTAAAAATGCCTTGTACACAGTTTGATTGATTGTTGTAAGAACATTCAGTATGTTTGATAGGACATGACCAGTAAACTTAATACATATACATATTGATAATATTGAGGCATACACAAAAATGTCACAACATACTGTACAAACTTGATAATAAACTGACTAAATACATGAGTCTTGTGTATATATATACAGAACACATAAAGCTCCACAAAAATATCACATTAATGCTCCAGACAGAGGGGTTATACAACAAGATTGAGAGACAGCACAACCCTTACAAAAAAAAAAGGCCAAAAAAGATGCATCCGAGACCGCCTTAATCATTCCCCGCAAGGCACATTTTTACCTTCTCCGCAGGGTCTTAAGGAAGTCTCTAGATATTCCCGGCAAATGTCTCCACACCATCTCGGCAAACTACTCCAACTTGCAGCTTGCTGAGAAGTATCCGAGACTTCCTTACAGTACCTACTGAAGTAGTCTCCGATACTTCCTCAGAATTAACCTTATATGGCTAATTAAATATGCTTTGAACCATCTCGGCAAACCCACTTAGGAAGTCCCTGATTATTCTCCACAAACGTGTGTGACATAATCAAAGATGTTTCTAATGCATCCCCACAACACTTGCAAGGAAGTCTCCGAAGCGTCTTCTCAAACCAATCAGGGGTAATTAAATATGCTTTGAACCATCCCGGGAAACCTTCTAAGGAAGTCCCCGAATAGTCTCCACAAACTATTATTAGGTAATCAAAGATGTTTCTGAAGCATCCCAGCAAAACTTGCAAGGAAGTCTCTGAAGCATCTTCGCAAACCTATCAGGGGTAATTAAATATGCTTTGAACCATCCCGGGAAACCTTCTAAGGAAGTCCCCGAATAGTCTCCACAAACTATTATTAGGTAATCAAAGGTGTTTCTGAAGCATCCCAGCAAAACTTGCAAGGAAGTCTCCGATGCATCTTCGCAAACCTATCAGGGGTAATTAAATATGCTTTGAACCATCCCGGGAAACCTTCTAAGGAAGTCCCCGAATAGTCTCCACAAACTATTATTAGGTAATCAAAGGTGTTTCTGAAGCATCCCAGCAAAACTTGCATGAAGTCTCCGAAGCATCTTCGCTAACCTATCAGGGGTAATTAAATATGCTTTGAACCATCCCGGGAAACCTTCTGAGCAAGTCCCTGATAAGTCCCCACAAACTTGCGTTATGCAATCAAAGATGCTTCTGAAGCATCCCCGCAACACTTGCAAGGAAGTCTCTGAAGTGTCTTCACAAACCTGTCATGGGTAATTTAACATGCTTTGAACCATCCCGGCAAAGTTCTAAGGAAGTCTCCATAACAAAGATGTTTCAGAGACATTTTACCTTTCCATCATTTTCAGTAATACAAAAGATGTGCTTACATCATAATCTAGTCTTTCAACAGCATCCCAGAAGTGTCTGTGAAACATCCTTGCCAAACCTGTACTGTCAAAAATGAGATAACGAAGTTGTATAGTATTCTCTTTATTTGGAGTAATAACAGCAATAACAAGTAGCCAGAGGTGGACATCATCAACAGAAGATATCATTATATGGTAGCCATCATATGAAAGTGGAAGTCATCATATGAAAGGGGAAGTCATCCTCGTCCTGGCAGGGGTCGTCATGGAAGCTGTCCTTCAAGAGGCTGAAATGGGATCAAATGTTATTGTATATCAGTGACATAATGAGTGAGTGAGTATGGTTTTACGCCGCTTTTGTGCAATGTTCCAGCAATATCACGGCGGGGGACACCAGAAATGGGCTTCACACAATGTACTCATGTCGGGAATTGAACCCGGGTCTTTGGCGTGACGAACCATCTTTAACCACTAGGCTACCGGACAGCCCCAATCAGTGCCATAAACTAATTACTTTATGTCAGACGTCAAGGAGTGAGTGAGTGAGTATGGTTTTACGCCGCTTTTAGCAATATTCCAGCAATATCACGGCGGTGGACACCAGAAATGGGCTTCACACAATGTACCCATGTCGGGAATCGAACACGGGTCTTCCGCGTGACGAGCGAGCGCTTTAACCACTAGGCTACCCGACCGCCCCCAGACGTCAAGGAGACTCATTAAAAACTATTACTTTTGGGGGCTACAAAATTACTGATGTTATGGTCAAAGAAACAAACCATGGCTCATTCACTTGAAAGCGTGCAGATCTTCTTGCTCACCACAAAGTTCCAGTTGTTTTTTCTTTGCCGGTTTCAGAACTGATGAAAAAAATAACATGTTACACTGGATTATAAATCAAAGCTTCATAATTCATGATACAGTAAAAATAAATTGCAAACAAGATAAGAGCATTAAAATTGCACTCAGGTGAAATGGTTCCAGTCCAAATGTATGATGACTTGAAAGTTACAAAACTTACCACTTGTACCAAAACTAGATTTTAAATGATGTCAATTAGTTAACATCTTGTGATTAGATATTCACTTAATATTGATATGTCCATGTCAGTTGACCAAAGCATTAAACATTCAAATGTCATTGTGTTCTAGAAAAATGTAAAAAATGGTTTTGACATTTACAAGTACTCATATTGGCTCAAAAGTTAAACACAGGAAGGATATTTAGATTGTAAAACCTATTGATTCCTTACTATGATTCTGATATTAAATTATAAAAATTAAACCTTTACCTTACAAGTCTGTGTGTGCACTTTGTAAGTACCAGTTAGTTTCATATAACTTATTTAGTTACAGTTCCATTAACCTGAAATGAAATTTACCTGACACTTAACAAAGATACTGACCTTCGAGTACCACATCGGTGTCGGTAGCATCGTAAAAACACCAAGTTGCTGGCCACAAGGCAGCAACTGGCTTCTTTTCCTTGATCCCTTCTCATGAAAAAGGCACATCAGCAGGAGTTCACGTCTTCCTATGAAGTATCGTTCCTTTTTTGTTTTCAAAAATCACCACAAGGAAGGGGGCTGAAAAATCAAGTTGCATTCATTAATAACCTAAAACTAAAAGGCGGGTATTGCTGGTCACACAAAAAAGTTGACACTGGCAACTTTGCCAAAATTTCAACAACCTGGTGCCAGTCCAAAACGTAATTCAGGATCTATACCGCGATGGCGAAGGATCATGTCGACAGGGAAAACGATAAGACCACCACATTTACTGGGAACATATATCTATTTCAAACAAACGTTACAAAACATAACTTTCCCTTACTTACGAGTTCTTAAAAAAATATCAACCAACATCCTCGTTATAAAACAGCAGGTTACAAAATGGCGGCGATTTCCGTACTAATTACCATATAACAATGGACATTTGTTTGTAAAAAAAAACTAAGTTTTAATTTCAAATACAACTTAAGATAAATAGAGTTTAACAAAATACAAATATATAATTTGTTATCTATTAATTCAATAATTTTATAAACTTATAACTACAGTCTGCGATCATATTTCACATTTCAGTGACCATATACATAATTTGTTTTGAAGAAATACTTTTTATCTCAGTCCCACATCGGTGCTCTCCGTAAATTTACGGAGAACCACGATGTGATCGAAACATGAAATCTGAAGGGCCTGCGCAATATTACAAAATTACATCTGCGCCTATTATTTTTCATAAATAGTCCCAAATTAGATGAGTAAAGGGTCTAATATTGAAGTTTCTAACTGACTTATTTCAGTTTGAGGTTCCAAATTAGAACATAAATTTACGATTTATAAATTGAGCTTGAAAAAAGATTTCTCTTTCAGCGAATGCTAAAACTAAGTTCAATATCTAAGTGAGAATTGGTTTTGATCGGGGGTCGTTTCGGTGGATTTATTTAGCATAATTGTTATGATAATTGTTATGACGACAATATAGAGGGCTATATTTTAAAAATATATTTATGTAACACAAACAGATCTAAAGTGTACCTACCGTTTGTTCAGGAACATATACGTTGTCATCCTTGCTGAACTCAGAGTCGGCGTAGATTCTATCTCGATGAAGGTTTGGTGACTCTCTTTTTCAGTTTTTGCTTCTCTTTGAAATTATTATTTTTTATCGATAGATTAAAATATTATTCACTAGATCTATTTCCCGCAATGTTATTGAAAATAGAATTCACCGACACACACTTTGACAATGGGTCCACATCGAACAAATCAAAGAGCAAAATAAAAACGTGTCAATCAAATCTTTAGATATATTTTACAAAGTAATAAATGAAATCAACAAAATTATTTATCTGTCTCAAAGTTGTCAAACTTAGATATAAGTTATCATTTCCATCTTTTCGTGCGGTCGCGTGCGAGTCAAATGGCATCGCGGCTTTTAATAGTTTTATCGCCTCGATTTCTCCACAATGTTTAATGCCAAATATATGCAAGAAAAATCTTTGTCTCAGCTCGTAACCTGGCACGATACATCCACGAAGTTTCATATTTTTAATATAGATCGCGATTTCCTGCTTAAAACGTTCAGAACAACACGATTTAACAAAAAACACTCGTCAAAGTCTGACATACACGAGTACCGTTGCTGTAATTGGTTGTATTAGGTCACGTGCTCAATTTGACCAATCACGAATCTTATAGCAGATTTCGGCAAGATAGCGTCACCAGAAACCAATAAAATAGCATGTTATTGTAATGTAAATACTCAAGGCGAGGTGACTATCGTGTAGATGACAAAATAAACGTTGAAGATAATGGTGTGTCACATGGTACGTGTTATTCATGCGAAGCTTCGAAAACGGAGATATTTCTCCATGCTACAGAGTGGACAGCCACTGTCATCGGGAAAATGATGACAGATATTATTAATAATTCTTTTGAAAATAATTTTCCGATTAGAGTCTAGATCTACGTAAACAATAAATATGAAAAACAACAACAACAATAAATAGGTAGATCCACGGACGTATATATACGTCTTTGGTAGATCTAAGTTCTGAAAATCGTCAAATTTTTGTTTCCTCTGTCCTTAATCTGGACGTTATGAATGTGTTAGCTTGGATTATTTTTATTTACAACACACTTAATTTAGTTGTAAATGCATCATTTAAATAATGTGATAAACATAACTTTCATATGGGGGGGATGAAGAGGGACCACACCCAATGGACACAGAACAGCTACAATTAAAATATACCAGTTGTGAACAGAAGCTCATAAATCCTGAGACTATTATAACTGGTATTGCAGTACTTACTAAGGTACAAAGACAATGAGTAACTTGAGTGATCCCAGATAGCAGTCAGACGTTGGGCCAACGTTGGGCCAACGTTATCACTTACGTTGGGCCAACGTTGGCTATCAACGTTGGCCCAACGTCATTTTGACCGGCGGCCCAACGTTGGGCCAACGTTGGCCAAACATCGTTGGTCCAACGTTGACCCAACGTTGGGCCAACGTTTCTTTGCCAACGTTGGGCCAACGTTGACCCAACGTTGGGACAACGATGTTCAGCCAACGTTGGCCCAACGTTGGGCCGCCGGTCAGAATGACGTTGGGCCAACGTTGATAGCCAACATTGGCCCAACGTTGATGGCCAACGTTGGATTACGTCTGTTTTATTCCTCACTATACCTCCCAGGCAGCCTGAAATGTTTGTACCAAGGTAGTTAAGACATCAGGTAACAAGCAATACATTCTGCAAGTTAGATTCACTCTGAACTCTTTCCATGAAAGAACATGCCAATGAAATGCGCTCTCTTCTGGCAGGGTACCTCAGCATACATAGATTGAAATAGGGCCAAGAAAAAATTCAAAATGTTTCAAATTACACGTGCAATTTCGTGCTATAATATTTACTTTCCAAAACCATTTTCAAGACTATGTGCAAATTGTTCACAAATGTTTCAACACTATTAAAAGATAAATGATTTTCCCACAAGTTTCCAAATTAAAAACCATCAGACAATAAGCCTGCCACAAATTGAAACATTTAATTTTTCTTGGCCTTACCCCATACATTCAGCATTAGGGCAACGCTGAGACAAGCAAAATAGTCCATGCATAGGATGTCCTATGATCAATATACTTGATCTATTAAAAAATATGATAACAGCAACAAAATGACAATAGAATTCTGGTTTCGGTGACCTTTATTTATTTGTTACATGACAAATCAGAACTTGGGCTGAGTGGTTGAGGAGCCTTTTCAATCCTCAGATGTCAGAAGAACTTAACACAGGGATGATCTTCAACTGTATCCACGGTCCGTGTGCCTTGGTAACTGAATAAAACAATGACACAATTATAATAATGATAAGGCAAGGGACATTTTTTACATACAAAATGGTTGCCTTCCCCTAAATAATAATTTGATGTATGAAAAAAAGTCTCAGCAGTGCTACCTCCACCCATCCAAGTCATAAAACTGTTAAAAACTGCTAAAACTGGGAAGGTAGCATAGACAGTAATACCATGATGCTCTTGAATCATAGATAGGCAGAAAAGCTATTAACACTAAATGAACAAGAGTAAAGACTCATTCATTTTCCAAAGTTTAAAACATAGAAAAAGCATAATTATCAAAATCAAACTTTGCACTGCACATCAAGTTATAGGTCTCACAACTGTTGAAGAAAATAATTCTAAGTTCAAAACATGAAACAAATCATATTTTTTTCTGAAAATACACATATCAAAATCAACATTTTCACTGTACCTCTTTTATTACTATAGAAAGTGTTTCTTAAATTTGGAAAGAATCCATGCAGCAGTTCTCAAGTTAAAGGTCGCACAATGTTGAATTAAAAAAAAAACATTTTAAGTTCAAAACATGTACAAAAATTATATTGTTTAATAAAATACACATATCAAAATCAACCTTTGCTGTGCATCCCATTTTTTAATATAAAAGTGTTCGTTAAATTTGGACAGAATCCATGTTCTCTAGTAGATCTCAAGTTATAGGTAGCACAATTGTTGAAATAAAAAATATTTTAAGTTCAAATCATAACAAAAGCTATATTTTCTTAGAAAATACACTAATCAAAACCAAACTTCACACTGCACCTCTCCTGTGGGTGTAGAAACTGTACCCATAATTGGAAAAGAATCCATGAAGTAGTGTTCAAGTGATAGGTCGCACAAAGGTTGAAATAAAAAGAAATATTTGAAGTCAAAAACATTTAAAGAATCTTATTTTTTTCAGAAAATATACATATCAAAATCAAACTTTACTTTGCACTGCACTCACACACAAAAATGTCTTTGGAAGGAAGGACGGACAGATAAACTTGATCACCCGCCCTTTTAGATTGGGGGTGTAATTAAATAAGAATCATCTAAATTTTTATTATTGAAGATGTTTGAAATATATTATTGCATCATGTATACCTTTCTGGCTGTGATGTGATGTAAACAAATATGCTTCCACAATACTGTAAACTCCACCTGAAAGAAAAATAGAAATCTCAAAGTATCACATTCTCAAATAAATCAGTAGAGATAAATCTGATTTACTAACAGTATGATGTGAGTGGTGTTACTTTGGCAAATAGTTTTATCAGCCAATAGAAATCAACTGTAATTATTCAAAAGCAATAACTTTACCTTTCTGCTGTACCTCACAAACTTGTGATCAAGTAAAAAATAATGCAAAATAGCATGCATATGTTGGCAAAGTTTCTAAAATCTGATGTGAAAAATAAACAAATAAATGAAAATTATATATTGCCAAATAAAGAGTTCCAACGTTGGAAGCATGAATGTTGAATAAGATTATGAATTGACCTTCCAATAAGTAATAGAAGTGTTAACACTGGTATTAAATTAAAATCGTGATTTTAGATTCTATTTTATTTTAAAAATATAAATATGAATATTTTCCATATAAATATGCCATGATATCTAAGTTCTAACATTTACAAAGATAGTAACGTTGGAAAAATTAACAAAATGCGATATCGGAGACAACACCAGATGAAGCTGAAACAGCTCTGTAAATATTTATTGAAATATATTATTCTCAATCGGAAATGATTTCATGACTATTTCGTACCCAATCTAATCCAATACGTTCCCTTCGTTCTAACCATTACTCCCCCGCGGTATGCACAAATCAAAAAAGCGATTATGCCATTATCAATCCCTTTCAAATAACAACAAACACAATCCCACGGCCACTGATTTGTGATCGAAAACTGAACTCGCGATGTTGCCGACAACAGGGAAAAGCTCCGTACACTGATCAGTAGGAGTCTGCATGGTATTATTTTATCATGTACACGGAATGCTTTGAGTTTTGGAAGCCTCGTTCTGAATTGTTCAGTTTAGTTGATCTTTTTGACCGTAAAATTTCACAAGCGAGAACGAAATTGACCTTTTCAGTTGAGTTTGCTTGTTATTTTTAAACTTCCACGAGAATAGAAACAACCAGTATTCATTTACAAATACCACAGTCAGTGTTTGTTTAGGTAGTCATGTGGTCGCTCGCTGTCCGGTGACCACCAACTGTTAGAAACAGCTGAGATCGACACTCCATCTGAACTTACGCGACACGGTGCACATTTCTTTGCACTAACTTGTCCTCACGATCACGACAAACTTTATGACACGGACAAGCGCGACTTTTTTGGGGGTATGCTAGTAATAGTAAGCTATATATTTGCAAGCAATCAGAGTGACATATTCCTATTTGGCTTCGGGTCATGAAGTTTGTGGTGTTTTCAATTTCTGGAAAATAATTACTCGTGTTGATATTTCTGAATGAACAATGGTTGTTTTATTCTCGGGTACTGTTTGTACATCATATTAGATATTGATTAAACACTTACCTCCATATATTCGAGGAAAACAGTATTCCGATGATCGAACGTGTGCTTGTGTCTCGTCGTCTGCTCGTTGAGATGCGCAAAAAACGCAGCGCCCTCTTAGTGAAGCTGTCAATTACGAGTAGCGCCCCTTGGAAATAATTTCCGAAATGCGACCTAACGTTGTAACAACGTTGGGCCAACGTATAAAATCCGACCGCGACACTGCCAACCATTGCCGACGTTGGGCCAACGTCTGAATGCTATCTGGGATGTGTTTGAATTTTCTGATTGATCATTCATTCTAAGTATAATTTAACTTGAATAAACACTATGACAGTCACTTGACTTGTATTTGAATTATGATTATAACCATTAAAACAGCCAATCATGTATTTCCTGGCACCCCTAAAAATGTAATGGCACACTTAATTTGGCATAATTGTGCCCATTGGCAAACTTGAAATAAATTTAATTTCGATCCCTGTCATGTATATCTTGAGCCACAAATCAGCCACTATGTCTACAAGTAATATTACTTTATGTTGCCTTTTCTTATATACCTTTTTCTGAGGAGACTGTTATATGGCACACGGACACTGTTACTTTCTGATTGGAATTTATGAATATATTGTACATTTCTTTCTTTTTTTCTGATTATTGCATACTGATAATTCCTGCATTTGTTTTAACTGTATTTAATAGAAATATACCTCGAAGCATTAATTGTGTTGGGTATTTAATTATTAATGTCCTTGCTGACATATATAGGATTTCTAATTCATTGCATGTGAATGTTTTAGATAAAGAGCTTTAGTATTATCCTTAAAGAAAATTCAAAATAAATAATAATGATCATGTCATCTCTTCCAAGCAAGGGACCTAGTTTTCCGAGATCTTGACTAAAGCTCAATGTATTGATCTGTATCAATTGAAAGGAAGTCTTTGAAAGATATACACTTACAAAAGTCTTCATATAGTTTTGGCTAGTGAGGATGCATTCACATCATCATTGCAAACCGGTTATCAAGTTGCCTTGTGAGGAAGTCTCTGAATAGTCTTTGCAAAGTTCTTTCGAAGATTTCCACAAGCAAAGAAGACTCCACAGTATCTTTTCAATTTTGTTTGTTTGTAAAGAAGTCTCCAAAAAGTCCCCACAAATGTTTTTGTGGGGTCTTCGTTAGTGAGAATGCACTCAATACATCCTTGCAAACAGTCAGCTATTTTATTGCCTTATGAGGAAGTCTCCGAATAGTCCTCACAAAGTCTTTGTGGGGTCTTCGCTAGCGAGGATGCACTGATACATCTTTGCAAACCTTCAGCTACTTTATGGCCCTTCTGAGGAAGTCTCCGAATAGTCTTTGCAAAGTTGTTTTGAAGGTCTTCGCTAGCGAAGACGTATCGGAGACATCTTAAGAGATCTCCTAAGACATCCCCTGCTAGTGGAGATGCACTAGAAACGTCTTCGGTAGGTTAATGCCTTTGTGGGGAAGTACTTGATTATTCCCCAGAATAGTCTTCGATGGGTCTCCGCAAAGTCTCGGCTAGCCGAGACCATAAAAATTGGCTAAAATCCCACAAAAGATGCATCGGGACGGTCTCGGGGCGGTCTCGGATACATCTTTTCTGGGTTTTTTTTTTGTAAGGGAAAGCATCGCAAGTCGTCACAGCCAATGAAATGAGCAGAAAGGACAAATGCCAGTCGTAAAAGCCACTGGTTAATACTGGAAGGCAATACATGGTGTATAAATATGCAGTACAAGAATATACAGCCTGGGAATTGACAGTTATTGACTTGATGCTTTCACAGACTTCAAGTCTGTATGTGACGATGCTGCTGGGAGAGAAACTGTTTCACATACATTTTTGATAATGCCAAACATTGTAAGTATACCAATTTTTTCATATGACTATACCACAGACTTGTATAGGTCCGTGACTATACTTAAACTGCCCTTTAACATCTTTTGAGTAGTATATAAAAACTTTTTAAAAGAGTAATTTTTTTCTTGGTGAAATTAATCAATTGTTTTGAAATATATTTCTTTGAAATATAATTTTCTAGATATTGGTATTTTTAATTAAATTTACAGAATTTCAAATACACAATTAGAAAACTCTTGATGGAATAGTATTTTTAGGAAAGCATTTTAATCTGTAATGTTCTTATCATCCAAATCGTCTAGCTTTAGATATACATGTATCTAGTCCTTGTCTAGAAAGTCATGGACCTAGTCACAGTTGCTATGTCTAAAAATGCAACAAAGAACATATGGATTTTTTTTTAAATGTAATTTTTCTTCCAATAAAATACCTACATAGATATGTCTGAAAATGTGACATTGAACTGTAAGTCCTTTTATTGTATATTTTCTTACATCAAAATATATGCTAATAGTGCCTGCAAAAGAAACATTGGGTCTAAGTCAGATTCTCTGATTGTAACTGTCTAATTCGGACTATCCATAGTTCCATCTCACTTGTGTTGACCCACTTCCTGCTGCTCTTAGAAGGGCAAGAAACGCTGAAGAGGTCGGTCCTAGATGCATGTAGATTGTTATAGGCAAGTTTCATATTCAATGAAGAATTGTTCTTTTTATCAAGGACTTTGAAATATCCTATGTTCCTAATAAAACAGTATTTGCAATAGGTATTAGAACTGTAGAATATTTCTAAGACATGAGAATTGTGACCTTAAATAAGAACATAACTAGAAGTGGACATTAGTGTTCTCTTTGTAAATATTCCAAAACAAAGATGTATCTTACACACTTCTACCAAAAAGTAGTTTGGAAAATAAGATTTGGGGGCACTTAAACCTGCTGGTACTGGTTAACTTCAAAACAAAATATCCTTCCAAAATCATGCAAGCCTTCTCTTTTAGAGAAATCTTATAAAGTTGGAAAGGATGGATAACAGAAATAGTATTTTCCTACCTTGCCTCGAAACTCAATAACAATTAACATAACTCCAGGAAAATACATAACCGTTACCATAACAACTCATGGTTGGACTGATTACCTGGAAACAACATTCTGAGATTCTTCTCCAATGTCTGCAAGACTCCCTTCCACAGGGAGCTAATACCTCGTACTCTCTAGCTGGGAAAATCAGACAGGATTTGTTTAAATGGAATCGAAATATCTGATCTTCCAAATTTTGTAGCCTTCTCTTTGTAAAGAGAAGACTGACAAGAGCCAACTGGGATAGGGACTGACATTATCTGGAGATACCTCTCAAGGAAAGTAGTTTCTACAGGGAAACAGTACTACAAAACAAAGAAGTCTTGCTGGAGCTGAAATTGTTTAAGAAAATAATCATCAAAGATCAAACCAGTTCAAGCAGATTTAATCAGGTAGATATTTTTTCCATGTTTTCGAAACAGGTTATCAACAATGAAGGTGTACCCTTGTTACCCACCATGTAGTAAAGATATCTGTTGCCTTGAAGTAAACAACTCACATATAGACATATGATATTCAAAACACAACAATGGTGGCTTCTTTCAGTGACAAAATCTTATCTCCAAACTACAAATCTTCATCATATAGTTTGCCTATGGAATCAGATCTGAGAAACACTGACCTCTTTAGCCCGAAAGACCCTTCACGCTGTGTACAAAACTTCCTACATTATCATCAACACTCTTGAAGTTGTAGGGAATACATTATTATGTAGAGTCTCCTGCAACTTCAACACATCAGCAAGAAATGGTGGAAAGAACTGAATCACAACAGCTAGTTCCTATAGATGTTCTTTGATAGATATGAAAACTCAATCATATCAAAATTTGTTTTCCATTCAACATCACTCAAGCATTTCTTCAAGAAAGAATTTAAAAAAAAAAAAAAAAAATTCCTTTGTTATATTTTCAGACAGAGCAAGTGAGTTTGGTTGAATGGCCCCATGAAGACTATTATATCACGACTTGTCTGTCCAGTTTGTGAGGAAAGTTCAAAGTGGCGCAAGTTGTCGACAGTCGCCCTTTTCGTGAAACCACTGATGCTGGGAGACCAAGGATCATAATTGTGTCATTTGAACAATGATCAGCGGACCCTGTCATCTAAGGGACATAATTCTGCACACCATGTTGAAACACCTGAGGTGACAAGATCACCCACTCACAGACACCAATCAAAGATCAATGAGACACAGTGCTTATTGTCAGCTCCGACAATACCACACCGCCAAAGCCATCAAGACATTATGGTATATTAACTGTAAGTTGGGCCGGTTACCGATAAACTGTGTCCGGTGAGACAGAAGTTCCAGTTATCAGGGGACAGAATTCACGGTCTGCACAACAAGACAGAAAACTGCGCCTGCCAATGGATCAACAAACATGATAGTTCTGTCAATGTTTGTAAGATGAATTTATCAACATTCCAGGCCCTTATTCTTTTAATATACATAATTAAAACTTTTAAAAATAAATAATCTTATCACGATTCATGGTATGTATTTTATTAAACTTTCAAAAATAAATAATCTTATTATGATTCATGGTCCATAAAATGACAGAAACTGAGTCTTGCCTGTGGACCAACAAATATGTCAACGTGTCAATATATTTTTAACTATACACCAGGACCTTCTTTAAAGTAATGATTTAACTTATTTTAAAAAATTGTTCTGATTATCACAAAACAAAGCAGATTACACTTTAAGTGCCTCATTCTTTACCCTAATTGTTATTTAGGTACGTCATATTTGCCAGTCCACAGAATTATCTTTAGCACTCTCTATGTCATTATGGGGCATGGACTTGATATCACTCGATACACAGGGTATATGACATATACAGCTTATGACGATAGGCATTGGTCGATGGCGGCTAAAGTCGATGAAGGGCATATGTCGTTGACCTCAGCATCATATGTTCAATCAATGATGATGGCTTTGCATGATGATGTTCGAGAACTTCAGCCAGTCTACGCCACGGCTGTGGAGAATCGTACAGTTTTAACATGCGTTCCGTAGCTGTCATGGCCGTGTGTGCAGACATCCATGCTTCGTGTCGTGTCGCCGTATGTATTTCCAAATGCATATCTTCTCTCTGCAAAATAAATATAGATACAATAATACACTTATTCGATGTAATAAGCACCCAGGGCGCTCTCAAAATTAGAAATAGGGGGCATATATTTAGAATATTATTCTGGTTGAAGTTGAAAGATAAATTTTGTGGTTTATGCTGATACCCTGAAATGTTTATATATGACAGATATAGTTTTCCAGAATGTAATTGCCCACAATTAAGGGTGCATATAACACACGAGTGCGTATTATACGCGAATAAATAAGTCTTGTGTGCATTGATCAATTGGAACGGGTGCTAATTGGGATTGTTCACTAGCCAATATATTAGCAAATAATGCCATGGGCGCTTATTAGAGTGGGGCACTTATTACGTCGAATACGGTAAGTCACATGTTAGTTCAAACAATCTCCAATATCAGTCAAGTCTGAAACCTATAGAACACAAAGCAGCCGTATCACCTTGACAGTCGTAAGTCAATGTTCAAGTGTACGAGTTACAATCACCTCAGCGCAATGGATTGCTTTGTGGAATATACCCCAGGAACCTTACCATTTGATATTCTGGTGGAGGGTTGTAGGGCTGGGATGAGTCCAAATTTACAACCCCGGTACCCACCCCCTATTACCTGACCCTACTAGGGTACACACTGTAGGCCTCAAGAGATAGGTACAAAATGTTTGATTGGGAACTTTTTTACCAAAGCCCTGGCAAAACGTATTTAGATACACGTATTTAACAATCTGTTCATGCATACACTGTAGTTGACTTAAGTTATATCTGTATTGACCCATATGAAAAGTCAGAAGGAATTGGTGCATAATTTTTGTCATTAAACAATGCATCACGTGACTAACCACGTAGTCCTGTGGGTACCCGGGTCCTACTAAGTACCCACCCGTCCCGGGTACTCGAGTTACCCATCCCAGCCCTTGAGGGTGGGTGCCTGGGATGCCTTTTTACCAAATATTTTGTTCTCTCCAGAGGTAAATATTATATATCTGAATGTAGTGACCGAAAAAATATTTTGTCTCAAAGTTCCAGGCTCCACCACCCAAGAATATGAAGTGCTGTCGGCCCTATCTGATATGTATTGACAATACGATGACAACAGATTGTTTCTGTCATGAGGTAACTACTCACGAGGGACATAGCCGGTGTACTTGGGGATCATGCCGTCCTGGAGGTATAGGCGGCGGCTGAAGTTGGGCGGGGCACTCTGTGCGGCCCGCGATCCTGACGGGGGTCTGTGATGATAAAAACACATTTATCACAGAGAACACAACACATATATCACATAGACTTAGTACATATCTCATTCGCCGAAATGAGAGGTCTGCTTGGCACTTTGAAAAATGACAAATGGGGTTCTCATCCAAACCTGATGATACACAATCAGTGAAATCAGTGAAATCAGTTTTCAGAGACTGAGCAGTAATGAACAAACATGGTTCAAACTTGTCAATAGTTAAGTTACAAGGCTATTATACAGCTCAGCTCAGCTCAGCTACACTCAGCTCACTCACTCACTCACTCAACTTACTCATTCAGTGGGGAACGGGTGGCCCAGTTGTCTAAGGCGCCACGATTCGCTGTGCAGAGTTGCGTCCCTTTGGGCATGCCAGAAACCTATGATTGTGAGTTCAAATCCCGGTTTCTAGGTTTGTCAGCACCATACTCATGCTCGTGGGTTTCACCGAAGCGGTAAACATTTGAGACCTGCATCACTTGGGGCTTTCCTCCCACATTAGGCTCACTCACTCACTCATTCAGCACTTGACACAGGTCAGTTACTAAGGTCCCACCTGTTCACTGTGATCTTGTAGTTGGGATCGGCATGGAGTTCCTGATGCCGCTTGGTTTCCTGTACAAATGCATTGAATCCCATCTTGGAGCTCTCGTGGTACCGGCATCCTAGTCCCAGCTCTGTGGGTTTGATTCGCGGCACATACCCCTGGTACCCTGGCATCGGCGCCTCCGTCATGCTCCGCTTGTCCTCTGGAAGATGAACACGACTCTGTCAGAAGCCTCATAGGTATCTGTGACAGGAATCTTTGCTACTAATAAGTTCAACCACGACTTCTGTAACTACTACTACTACTACTATTATTATTACTACTACTACAAGACTATAGTACTTATACCTAGCAACTTTGGATGTATGGTGTCTACTACTACTACTACTTCTACTACTACTTCTATTACTACTACTACTACTACCACCTCCATCACCACCACCATACTTCTACTCACTATTAAATACTACTTTTGTTTGTTTGTTTGTTGTTTAAAGCCGCACTCAGCAATATTCCAGCTACATGACGGCGGTCTGTAAATAATCAACTCTGAACTACTACTACTACTACTACTACTACACTAGTACACTAGTACAGAACGACTACTACTTCTACTATACTACTACTACTACTACAGAACGACTTCTTCTACTACTATACTACTGCTACTACTACATTACTACTACTGCTACTACTACTACTACAGAACGACTACTACTATACTACTATATATACTACTACAGAAATACTACTACTACTACTATACTTCTGCTACTACTACATTACTACTACTGCTACTACTACTACTACTACTAGACTACTACTATACTACCACTATTCTACTACTACTACTACAGAAAGACTACAACTACTACTTTACTTCTACTACATTACTACTACTGCTACTACTACTACTACTACAACAGAACGACTGCTACTATACTACTACTACTACAGAAAGACTACTACTACTACTATACTACTACTACTACAGAAAGACTACTACTACTACTACTATACTTCTACTACTACATTACTACTACAGAATGACCACTACTATACTTCTACTACTACTCCTGCTACTACTACTACAGAACGACTACTACTATACTACTACTACTACTACTACTACAGAAAGATTACTACTACAAAACGACTACTACTACTACTGCGACTACTACTACTACTACTACTATACTACTGCTACTACTACTACAGAACGACTACTACTACTACTACTACTATACTACTGCTACTACTACTACAGAACGACTACTACAATACTTCTACTACTACTACTACTTCTACTACTACTTCAGTACTACTACTACTTCTACTTCTACTACTACTACTACTACAGTACTACTGCTAATACATCTATACTACACTACAACAGAACAACTACTACTACTACTATACTTCCACTACTACTACAGTACTACTACTACTACTTAGTAACACAACTCATAACTACTACACTATGACTTAGTAACAACTACTGCTGCTATGACTCCAACAACAACAACTCCCACTACTACAACTACACAATGTAAGAGGTTGTACCTAGTAACATGGGCTGTGTTGGGTGTGTATCCCTGTACAGGTTGAGCTTGTCACGGACCGTGGGGTCGTGGGAGATGGCAGTTAGACGAGGGTAGCTCCGTATTTGTCTCTGGAGGTCTCTCATTTTAAAGTCATGATTCTTTGTGTTGCTCAAATAGTTGTCTATACACACATCACAGTCGTCCTTGTATGTGCCGCCAAACTTGAAGGGCATCCTTGGTATGTATCCTGAAACAGAATACATTCCTATAATTGTTCCTACATACATGATTGTTCCATATACCGTGTTCGACGTAATAAGCGCCCCGCTCTAATAAACGCCCACGGCGATAATTACTAATATATTGGCTAGTGAACAATCCCAATTAGCACCCCTTCTGATTTATCAATGTACACAACACTTATTTATTCGCGTATAATACGTACTCATGTGTTATATGCACACTTAATTATGGGCAAATAAATTCTGGAAAAATATATCTGTTGTATATAAACATTTTAGGCTGTAAGCAAAATCCACGAAATTTATCTTTCAACTCTGTTTTTCCCACCAAAATAATATTCTAAGAAGAGCCCCCTATTTCTAATTTTGAGAGCGCCTTGGGCGCTTATTACGTCGAATACGGTACTAGGGATGGGTATTGGAGTAAAAGTTATACTGCAATATATCATAAATATTTAAAGGCCCACACTCACTGCAAATAGTGAGCATAGCTCACCTGTATATAGTGAGTATTGCTCACCTGCATAGCAAGTATAGCTCACCTGTGAAGTCAGTATATCTCACCTGTATTTAGTGAGTATTGCTCACATGTACATAGCATGTATAGCTCACCCGAATATAGTGCATATAGCTCACCTGCCTAGCAAGTATAGCTCACCTGTGTATAGGGAGTATAGCTCATCTGTATAGCTCACCTGTATAGCCAGGAATCATGTTCTTGGTGTACTTGTTGTCCCCTGTGGCGTCGGGCAGCTCGTTCTTCAACGTCTCCTGTGGGAAGGGGCCCATGATAGTGGCGGAGCGGCGGAACTCCAGATCCTGCCAACAACACATGTTTTCTCATTAAATCAGACCACACAAACTCTTTCACGTTTCATATTTTTAATTTTTCTGTTGTAAAATATTCATAAAATGCTGTCAATAACCAAGACAGGCTTCAGTCATGTAATTACAGGTACATAAGCAGGTGAGTATTTCCCCATGGTATGGCTGAAGCAAACAGATGAAACTCAATGTCTGTCCACTTTATTCATGGCAAAAACAGTGATATAAAAACTCAGGTACCCGGGTCGGGTGGGTACTGAGTAGGACCCGGGTACACACAGGATTACCTGGACCCATGGTTAGTCACGTGATATATTGTCTAATGACAAAAATATCTGGAACTCTATGGTTACACTACAAGTCATAAATGTTCGCATTTCTTTCTGACTATGCACCCATTCCTTCTGATTTTTCATATGGTTGAATAAAGATATAACTTCAGTGTATGCATGACCAGATTGTTTAATACATGTATCTAAATACGTTTTGCCAGGGATATGATAAAAAAACTTCACAATCGGACATTTTGAGACATCTCCTGAGACCTACAGTGGGTACCCGGGTAGGGTAGGGTAATTAGGGGCGGGTACCCGGGTAGTAAATTTGGACTCGTCCCAGCCCTAGCGCATGCACTTTGCTATATAAGTGAAATAATCTTGGATATGCATTAAACACCATTTTACCTAACCTTGCAACAATAAACCTGGGAACAAAACCCTACAGGAACAAAACTCCTGATGTATTGATTCCACCAGAACAAATATTCAGGGGGACCATATTTACACACCTCACAGTCTCTCGCATGTACACACAAACTGAAACCTGCCAGACTGGTAGCAACAGCTAATGGTAGGTTCAATGTCAGTAAACAAGGTAATGAGTCGAGGTGGTGACATATCAATGTGCCATATCAATATTTGATCATGTGACGATCAGTAGCTAAGTGACAAGGAGCTGACTAGTGGCTGAGAGTGACAGCTCCAAGGACTTCAGTAAATAATGTGAAAACACACACGAAGCCTATAAACTGTCGCACTGACTGCGTAAACCTGTGAAAATCTGGGGTAGAATAGGTCTTCAGCAACCCATGCTTACCGCAAAGGAGACTATGCTTGTCGTAAAAGGCGACTAACAGGATTGGATGGTCATGCTCACTGACTTGCAATAGAAATTTGCACTAGTCCTATAGTCCTTACCAAACTGCCCAATAGTAAAGGTATCCTAAGGTCTAGTAGAAATTGGCCCATTTTAAGGGTTTTGCTATATGTTATCATTATAAGGACTAGTGGACAAAAACTGTTATTTCTAACCCTGGTTGATGTATGTCATCACATCCCGATTGTGTGGATCGATGCTCATGATATCCACCCTGGATTGTCTAGTCTAGACTCAATTACTAACGGACCACTGTCATACAGCTGGAATATTGCTGAGTGCAACAAACAAACAAACTGACTGAGTCTGTTTTTACACCACTCTAATCAACAATCCACCCTTCACAGCAAGGGACACCGAGAATGAGCCTACACATTGTACCTACATCAGAATCCAACCCGGTCTTCTGAGTGGTGAGTCTACCACTAGGCCACCTCAAAGCCCATTATATTGGAGTGTGTGTGTGAGTGAGTATGGTTTTACGCCGCTTTTAGCAATATTCCAGCAATATCACGGCCGGGAACACCAGAAATGGGCTTCACACATTGTACCCATGTCGGGATTCGAACCCGGGTCTTCGGCGTGACGAGCGAATGCTTTAACCACTAAGCTACCCGCCCCCCCACAATTATATTGGAGCACAACATGTACGTATTTCAGAATTCAAAGGTTTGACTAATCAGGTTCCACTTGTGTGAAAAAATAATGTAGGATTTACTGACTAATTGTGTTGCACCTGACCTGTAGTCAGTGTACAGTCTATGGGGGATCAATACCAGCCCCCCACCCCTTCCCCTGGACTGTCCCCTATCCCCTCCCCAGCTACAAGTCACAGTACACTCTATGGGGTATCAATATCAGGCCCCCACCCCCTCCCCCTGGAGTGTCCCCTATCCCCTCCCCAGCTACAAGTCACAGTACACTCTATGGGGTATCAATATCAGGCCCCTACCCCCTCCCCCTGGACTGTCCCCTATCCCCTCCCCAGCTACAAGTCACAGTACACTCTATGGGGTATCAATATCAGGCCCCCACCCCCTCCCCCTGGAGTGTCCCCTATCCCCTCCCCAGCTACAAGTCACAGTACACTCTATGGGGTATCAATATCAGGCCCCCACCCCCTCCCCCTGGACTGTCCCCTATCCCCTCCCCAGCTACAAGTCACAGTACACTCTATGGAGTATCAATATCAGGCCCCTCCCCCCTCCCCCTGGAGTGTCCCCTATCCCCTCCCCAGCTACAAGTCACAGTACACTCTATGGGGTATCAATATCAGGCCCCCACCCCCTCCCCCTGGACTGTCCCCTATCCCCTCCCCAGCTACAAGTCACAGTCCACTCCATGGAGTATCAATATCAGGACTCTGAAAGCTCCCTGACTGCTGGGGAAGATTCCAGGTGATAATGGCCACTGACTATTCTCCAATCCAGTCAGCTGATACTTCCAATTCACAATGGAGTCATGGTCCCATTGTAATTCTTTCTTGTAACACAGAGCAAAGATATCCCATTTCAGAATGCCAATTTCACGGTTTGTAGTCTCACCTGATCAACTGTTAACAGACTTTGACATCTGAATTCCAAGAAATGATTTTGGTTACCTAGGTCTATTCTGAATGTCTAGTTTACCTTTGTCCTGATTTTTCTGACTAGCAGAATGCTGCGTATACAAGATATACTGGTAAACAATGATTTGTAAAAAGGGTACAATATAAACACAATATCAAAGTGTCTAATTACCTGGTAGAATTGAATTCCTGATTATATTTTTCTTAGTATAAGTTTGTCAGAGCCATACCCATGCTTGTGTGCTGACAAGCTGTGATATAACTGCAATACTGTCCAAAGTGGTGTAAAACCCAACTCCTCACTCATTCACTATAATATCACAATTAAAACCAAGACAACAATTTGCCAATTTGGTTCCCTCATTTATATCGTATATGAACAAACAGGACTGGGTGGTCCCCTTGAGGTGGTTAAAGATGCTGCTCATCACGCCAAAGGTCCAGGTTCGATTCCCCACATGGGTACAGTGTGTGTATAAATCAAGTGAGTGAGTTGGGTTTAACACCACTTTGAACGGTATTCCAGTTATATCATAGTATGTCAGCCTGATGTGGTAGGAAAGCCTGAAGTGATGCAGGTCTGTGACGTTTACCACTTTGGTGAAACCCACGAACACGGGTATGGTGCTGACAAACCTAGAAACATAATCAGATAATTCAGGTCCACAATCTGGTTTCTGGCGTGCCCAAGGGATGAATGTTTATTGTTATTTCCTTTAAAAAAATCAAAGAGTACATTCATGATTGTAATTTTCATTAAACATAGCAGCTAACAGTTTTAGTCCACTAGTCCTTATAATGATAACATATAGCAAAACCCTCAGAAATGGCAATTTCTTCTTGTCTTTATGATACCTTAACTATTGGGCAGTTTGGCAAGTACTATGGGACTAAAGTACTCACAGAAATGAAAAAAACCTGTTTTTTCTATCTCAGATTTAAATAAATGCAGTTAAAATACAAAATATATAAATATTCAAACAACTCAATTAGTACTAATTGGGCCTTGGCACAAATACAGGGTATCAAAGGTTTTTATGTCTTTTTACACGTAAAAGTGAACAATATGAACAAAACAGACTATTGTGAAACTGAGCATAACCAGGTGTTAGTAGATCAAGGTGACTGTCCATGACCTATGACACCTTGACAACAGGTGAAAACAGGTGCTTGAAACCCACGTGCATGTGATTTGTCAGTGGTTAGTGATTTGTGAGTGGCATTGTGGGATAGTGAATCATCGTCAAAATATCAGAACGTAAAAGTAACATATTCCCTTCTGAAACAACAACTTACATGTCATTATTATTATGTACATAAACATAGCTGTTATTTTTATTGTCGTTTTCATAACTTTTTTCCAGGCGAATTTGCATAATGCCTATAGCCTGTTTCTGCCATGTCAATTTGGACTTAGTTTTATTTTTGAATGTTGAAAGTGCCTACAAATTACCTCCTGTAAAGTACATTTTGTATTGAGCACTGCGATAAAACTAGCAAATCCAGACTAGTACTTTTCCAGTTGTTTTGTTATTTCGTATTTACATCTACCTAATGCTTTGTGTCGATTATTAAATCCAGCAAAACAGGTTTTTTTCATTTCCGTGAGTACTTTAGTGCCAATTTCTAACACTGCATAGACCGTGTACACTAGAATACTGAATCACAATCACAATACAGTAACGGAATTACTACAAGTATTGCTTGTGGGTTCCGTGAACTTATTTCTTTGCCTACTACACACATGAAGTTGACCCGTGATTCGAAACCACGATCATAGGTTTCTGGTGTTCCTAAGGGATGCAACTCTGCACAGCGAATTACGGCACCTTAAACAACTGGCCCCCCATGAAGTCAGTGAAGGGACAAGTTCAGTCAAGGAGACTCCATTGTTGTAGCACTGATAGTATATGTGAAGGCCTCACAATGAAGCTATGACTACACATTGTAAAGAAGCAATTGGAAAAGAGTTTATCGTTATGACCTCACTGACACAAGATCTTCCCTCCAGTACAGCACAGACCCAGTGATTCAGTACCCAGCGAAACCACATACACCAACAGTTAAAACCAACTCCATATATTGACTACCCCATGCCGACACCCCACACTACCGACAATACCAGGCAATTGACAACTGTCAATAGCCAGAGAGAACATGCTATTACATTCAAAACCTACTGCTATCAACCTCGGTGTCACACGCCCTCTCTATGATTAACTGTACCTTGTCAATGGAGGAATTGGGTATTGAATTATGATTGACTGATAGTGCTGCATTGAGTCGGTTGTTGAGCCTTGGTCGCGAGAGTGGTCGTTAATAGCGGTACCTTGCTTGTGTTTATACAAGGTTGATCTACTGTTCGGACATACTGATTGGCATACAGATGTATTGTCATGGTTGACATGTGTACCTGTTCTATCGACAAAGTATATTTCAGTGAACATACACTAGGAGTTACAAAGATTGATCCAGCATTTTTAAAACGGGTCGGAAATATAAAAATCCTCTCTCAGTCAATTTTACTGCCTACAACAAACTACACTTGGTTTTCAAAAGGGGAGGGGGCAGATCCCTCTAGATCCACCTAAGGGTTATATATTTTCCAATTGAACATTTATTTTCAAATAATTTAAACAGAGTATCCCTCCCATTATAAATCTGTCAATGATGCTTGCATAAGTTTTAAGCAAACATACATTCTTACATTCATGACCTCTTAAGTCAAGTTCGAACTTATAAAATTTCTGTTCAAGTGGCTATAAGCTAGATAATGAATGAAAATACAGACTGACCTGCAAATCACCCACCCACAATATTGCGAAATACAGTAACAATATTACATTACATTACATTTTTTTTTCAATCTGGCTATATCTGATGATCCTGTCTTTGAGGCCTGGACATATCTACTGTCTGCTACTTGTACATTACAGTACATCACAGTCACTGTATACATGGGTCACATACGACTTGTCAAACAGAATGTCTTGTTTCTCTCTAACGGTCCCGTCTGTAAAATTGTCCTACTTTTAATATTTTATTTTAATTTTAAAGCACATTGTTACAAGCAATAAAGATTTTGTTATCGCTAAAACATTTCATATCTTCATTTTCTTCCAACTTCCTAACATTGTTATGAAAAGAGTTATTTTCAATTGTGTTTTTGACATGACATTCGTCGTATGTCTTGACCCAGTCTCTCAGACATGAAGCCAAAAGGGCGTGGCCAAACAGAGTGACATTGTTCAGTAAAAGACCGCCTCCGTGGTCTAGTGGTAGAGGGTCTGCCCGGAGAGCGTCATACCAAAAGACGTTAAAAGATGGTACTTGTTGTTACCCTGTCTGGCGCTCGGCATTAAGGGGCTAAAACAAGGACTGGTCGGCTCAGAGTCAGTATACCGTGTCTGAGTGGGGTATTCATGTTAAACTGCGGCATGGTATCTCAGTGAGCTAGCACTATAAATCGTTATCAGTCCGGACTAGTACAAGCAGCCACACACACACAATCAGTAAAATCAGTTTACTTACATAGATTTGTATCCTATCAAAGAAATACAATAAAGGAACTTAAAACCCTCTTTCCCTCAACCCATACAGTTTTTTAAAAAACATCTTGAGAAGCAATGTATTCTTATTAACTGGCCCAAACAGATAAATATGACATTCTTACTATGGAGAAACTGAAGAAAAAAGTGTAATCTGCAAGACAGAATTTTTACTTTATTTATTGACTTATTGACTGACATTGGTAAACAGTTTAGACCTGACAGGTAATTTAATATTATCAATTCTTTCAATACTGATACCATTGACTCTGTGATTGTGTGACTGTAATCAATACTCAACATTTGACAGTGGTGTCGTTCAGCACTCTAATTGGACACTTGTCAGTGTATATATACCAGGGCTCGGACAGTACATTATGACATATATAACTGACTGACTGACTGACTGACTGACTGACTGACTGACTGACTGACTGACTGACTGTAGTGCTTACTCACCGATTTGAGCAGATCGTGGGTGTCATTACCGTAGGTTTGGCCCACCCGGTACTTGATCTGAGGTATGTAACCACGGTAACTGCAAGGGAAATAAACATAAATTCCAATTTAATCACAACATTTTGCAACAAAAAGTGTTTCATAAAAATCATATTTTTTCTAAAATGTTTAATAACAAATTGTACAAGGTATCTGTGTACTATAGGGATGTTGAGATACATGCAGGTGTCACACGATACGATACATATCTCGACACTGAAGCCACGATACCATGCATATTTTGATACAGCATATATCAACATTTTGACTGAGAACAGAGTCCATAGGCACACTCACACTCATAAAGGTAAAGGAGGACAACTGACAACAGACTGAAACTCATTAACATGACACTGAGTCAAGTCAACTATTCTGTTTGAGAAAATAATGAGAAACTAACAAGTCTGCATACTGTATTATGACAGGCAAGGAAAAGCTGGTCAGCCTAGTTATTGAGCCCGTTTCATATCCGAAATACGACCAAAAAATTATGAGGAATTAAAAAAAATAGTTTGTACTTGCTTATTGATATATATATATATATATATATATATATATATATATATATATATATATATATATATATATGTATATGTATATGTATATATATATATATATTGATATTGATATTGATATTGATGCTAATGATCAACATGGACAATCTGGTATCGTATCGTGCTCAGTTACCTGACGGTGTACAGGTAAATCGCGACATCACTACTGTGTACATCAACTAGATGTGATTCCCATGAAGCATGTATATCTGGTTTGACCATGTTGCCTGTATGTTGCCACATATTGATTTTCTTCAGCCTTAGGTTGTTTTTGTTGGTTTGTTGTTTAGCGCTGCACTCAGTAATATTCCAGCTATGATGGCGTTCTGTAAATAATTTAGTCTGGACCAGACAAGCCAGTGATTGCCATCACGAGCATCGATCAAAGCAATTGGGATATGATGACATGCATCAAACAAAGTCAGCGAGCCTGACCACCTGATCCTGTTAGTTGCCTCTTACGAGAAGCACAGTCGCCTATTACGGCAAGCATGGGTTGCTGAAGACCTATTCTACCCCGGAATGTTCATGAGTCTCAGCCTTAGTTATTTGGAGACAATAAAATGATGAAAGACAGAAAATTGAATAGCGAGGATAGCGGTGATGAAAATCTAATAATTACTTCAGTATGGTCTAACTGAGTTTAATTAATTCCAAATGCATGCATTTTTCCCATATTTAATGGTTTTAGAAGACAACTTTGCAAAGTTTTTCATAAGTTTAAGAATCTTTTTCTACATATTGTAAAACTTTCACTACGTAAAGACAGCTTGAAACCAGTCTGTGTTAAAGGAGCATGACCCGTTGTTAAGGAGGCTTCACACAGTTGGTCATAAATATGTGTTACTATTTACATGAAAGTAAATGTTTACAGACCTTACTTTTACACATTCATGGTTATTTATATAGTGTGACGTAAAATGTTAACACTCATGTATGTTATGGGCTCTCCTAACTCTGTATGGAGTGGCAACCTTACCTCTTTTACTTATTTAGAGAAAACTTCACTCTATAGCCGGGGTGGGGCTTTAATAAAATATCTGTGTGTTGTGTCGAAGGTAAATATTTCACTGTCAATGTCCTTTGTATGAACAGGTACATAACATAAGCTTTAGAGATAGTATGTAACATTAGCTTTAGAGAGAGACCGCCTCCGTGGCCTAGTGGTAAAGCGTTCGCCCGGAGAGAGGAAGGTCATGGATTCCACCCCCGGCCGCGTCATACCAAAAGACGTTAAAAGATGGTACTTGTTGTTACCCTGTCTGGCGCTCAGCATCAAGGGGCTAAAACAAGGACTGGTCGGCTCAGAGTCAGTATACTGTGTCTGAGTGGGGTATTCATGTTAAACTGCGGCATGGGATCCCAGTGTGCTAGCACTATAAATCGGCATCAGTCTGGACTAGTGCAAGCAGCCACTCACACACACACACACATGTGCATGCAAGTGGCTATATAAGTGCAATAATCTTGAACATGACGTTAAACCCCATTTCTCATCACATTTAGAAAGAGTATGTAACATTAGCATTAGTGAGAGTATGTAACATTATACAGCTTTTGAGAGAGTATGTAACATAAGCATTAGTGAGAGTATGTAACACTAACTTTAGAGAGAGTATGTAACATTATATAGCTTTAGAGAGAGTATGTAACATTATATAGCTTTAGAGAGTATGTAACATAAGCTTTAGAGAAAGTATGTAACATTATATAGCTTTAGAGAGAGTATGTAACATTAGCTTTAAAGAGTGTATGTAACATTATATAGCTTTAGAGAGAGTATATAACATTATATAGCTTTAGAGAGAGTATGTAACATTATATAGCTTTAGAGAGAGTATGTAACATATAGCTTTAGAGAGAGTATGTAACATTAGCTTTAGAGAGTGTATGTACCATTATACAGCTTTAGAGAGCGTATGTAACATTATATAGCTTTAGAGAGAGTATGTAACATTATATAGCTTTAGAGAGAGTATGTAACATTATATAGCTTTAGAGAGTGTATGTAACATTATATAGCTTTAGAGAGAGTATATAACATTATATAGCTTTCGAGAGAGTATGTTACATTATATAGCTTTAGAGAGAGTATGTAACATTATATAGCTTTCGAGAGATATGTAACATTATATAGCTTTAGAGAGAGTATGTCACATTATATAGCTTCAGAGAGAGTATGTAACATTATATAGCTTTAGAGAGAGTATGTAACATTATATAGCTTTAGAGAGAGTATGTAACATTAGCTTCAGAGAGGCACATTAGTCGAGCACCTCTGAGTAACAGAAACACAGAGATTCAGCTAGGAGAGCATTGCTACATTTAAGTGCACCAAAACAAAATCTCTGTATTTTCATTTCCACAAATAAGCAACTGTTCAAGCAGAAGAAAATGCCACAGTTAATCACTGTCTTGCAGTAAGTTAACCGTTGCTAGGTGTCCCGAGTCAATCCAGTGTGAACCCCATGGCATCCAGTGGCGACCCAGCAGGTCCTATTGTAACAGCCTGGCTTACACTGGGCTTAATCTGGCTTACCTCACAGTCTTTATATCACAGCATGGTAAGTAAATGGAGGGATTATCTCTTATATATATTTAAAGCTGCATGGGAGATCAATTGTACAAGAAAACAAATGAGTTCTGTATTAGAGTATGTTGTTATATTATGAGTCTCACATGAACAATGATATACAATTCCAACCCCTCCATCTCCATTTTAAAACCATGCAGTCACTAAATTATGTTCAAATTTTAATTTGTATTTGAAAATATAGAATTTAGTCATTTATTCTCAACAAACCCCTATACAGTTGTGATAATGTGAGGCAACCCCCCTCATTTAATTACTGTCATTATATATATAACCCCCTTAATATCTAACAGCTCCCCCCAAAAAAATAAATAAATAAATAAAAATAAATAAATAAATAAATAAATATAAAAAAAATAGAGAGAGAAAAAAGAAGAAGAAGAATATGACTATATTTAGCTCAATATTCTCAGCTATTTCGAGAATACCTGTTTTCATACCTGAGGTAATATTTTGGCCAAAAGCTCGATAATTGTTCGATAGCCTTTCAAAGAGATTTTAATTGTGTTTCTGAATTGAGCTTCAAGTACAAATAATCGAATGCACAAAGAATTCCATTGACAGTGAGCGCCATTATCACATAGATGAATGGTTTCAAAGGACTTTAAACCCCAATTGTCACGTTCATAAAACGATATTCATTTCTAACACCTTGTTCAATACAGTTCTCACGTTCATTGACCACTCACCCTGGCACTTGAGTCCCTTCCTTCAGCTGGGCGAACGCTCGCCTCTGTTCAACAGTGGGACCCCCACCAAAAGCTACAGTTGTCATCTTGAAACAGAATACTTTCCTCTACCTTACTCCAAAATGATGTTCGCTTGACACGTAATGGAACGTTTTAGTGAGCTTTGGCTGCACTTAACACATTTACCGTTGCCTGTAACGCGATTTACCGTTGCTAGGGTCTAAAATACTCAACCAATCAGCGAACAGATACAGCGGGCACCGGTCGACCAAAACCGGAAGTCAGCTACGAATCTTGTTATAGTTTGCTTCTGAAATGTGAACGAAATTAGTTTTATTTGCGTCCACAAGGGAAAAGGAATACAACAATATAGAAGTCTAGGAATTCTATATGAGCAGGAATTTTTTTAATACTGCCATATTGCTGTGCAGAGTTGCGTCCGTTGGGCACGCCAGAAACCTATGAGTGTGGGTTCGAATCCCGGTACGCCCCGATTATGTTTCTTGCTAGATTGTCAGCACCACATCCGGGCTCGTGGGTTTCACCGAAGTGGTAAACGTCTGAGAGAGAGAGAGTTGAAAACTGCTGACTCAAATAATTTGTTCAAAACATGTGAAATACTCAAAAAAACGAGCTACCAGCACACACTTGTAATTTCGATTCTACAAAGTTGATCTTATTTCGTTGTTATAATTATAGTCAAAACGACTCGTCATATTTTCTTATTATCTAGGTTGAAATAGAAATTTATCATCCAAACTGACTCCCACAGGAGATATCGCTTGGGTGAGATCAAGCGATATCTACATTGTAGATATATCTGTAATAAAATTGCATCACAATGCTTTGCAGACCATTGCAACGCCACTGGATACCATGACGTCACAATCAAATGACATCACTAATGGCTCCGCTATTGAAGCTGTTAGCAGTACTTTTTAGACTTAGCACTGCTAATTGCTGTCTACAAACTGGTTGGAAGAATGATGTTGGATGATAAATAAAATCTCACTCTCGTGTGCAAGCCTCGGAATTTTTCCACCTTTTCCAACTCGTGTTGATATATTTGATATCAAAAGACACTCGGGTGACTTTCTCTATATATTTTCTATTGATATAAGTGGCCCAGGCGTCTGAGGCGCCGCAATTCGTTGTGCAGAGTTGTGTTGTACTAAACTCACTCACTCTATTGGTTTATTTGGTTCATGAATGATTTATTCATACATAATGTCAATCATTTGGTTTGTTTATTGTACAACACGGCACTCAGCAATATTCCCTCTATAAGCGTGATCTGTAAATAATCGAGTCTGGGCCATACAATCCATGCAATGATTAACATCATGAGCATTAATCTACGCAATGTTGGGATACGATGACATGCATATCACCCAAGTCAGCGAGCCTGACCACCCGATCCCGTTAGTCGCCTGTTACCACAAGAATGTTTTGACAAGCATGGGTTGTTGAAGACCAAATCCACCCTGGATCTTCGCGGGTCTTTATCGATATATTAACCAACGCAGTTTATGAAACGAAATTAGGACTTTGCAGCAATGTTGGGCATAAAATATAAACAGGTTCTACGCGAACGAACCCCATTGCCAGACAGCGCGTGATGTTATTTACACATAATGAAATGATAATTTTATGAATACTTCTTGCAGTTCTATTTCCAATTGTGCTTTTTTATGCTTTACAAAATATTCAAATATCATTTCCGGAGCATATTAGGTATATATGCATGACAATATGTACGAATTTATACATTTTGTTAATGAAATTTACGTAGAACAGTATTTTTATGATAATATATATTTTCTGAAAGAGACTATATCTGCTACTAAGGGCATCGGCGGCCATTTTCGACGCTGTCGGTGAGATGAAAGGCTCACTATAAACATCCAAAGGTCCCTAACCTCAGTTTCATCACACGATATATAGCGACTGTTTCCGGGTATTTGATCATCTGCTATTGCAGCGAAATGGGAAATACATCCGTTGTTGCGACAGGCGTCAAGAATCAAGCGGACAATGATTCAAAACAACTTTATCAGCTCGTCAACCTGAGAGGGGGCGGTGAACTTGTAGAGCTAATGAAACGGGCAAGGTGGACGAAAAATTACAAGGAAATTGATGAAAAACTTAAAAACGAAGTGAAGGGCTATTTATATAACGATGGCAAAGGAAAGAAAGTGCCCATTGTTGATCTTATCATGGCAAGAAATAAAGACAGGCAGAAAAGCAAAATCAAGGTTGGCAAGGAGAAGCAGAAAAAGGCGAAAGAATTGGCGATGATAGACATGATTCTTCAAGATGGAGAGAGCACGGGAACGTATATGCAACATAAACCTCAAGGTGAGGTGCCACGGAAACACCCAGGAATTGTTTTATTTCGTATGTCAGCAGGGTGTGTTTAGTTTGTGTGCGCGCGTAAATCGTCTCTGAAATGCAGCATCTTATTTAATTCTAGCTAGCTATGTATATAAAATGATAAAGATTTAACATGTGGTACAACAATATTTCTAGAAATTATACTTATAAATTATAATCTCCATCCAAAGATTTTGGTTTGATGGTATAATAAAATAATTTATGAGTCATAAGCCCTGGTGATGTTAATGATATTTTGGATGCTGTTATTAAAATAATAAATATGTTTGAAAAAAATGCAACAATGTATCACTTCACATGCTTAAAGTTATTTCTTTTTTATTTAGCAACCTGAAGTTTTTCTTTTGCAAGGATTAACTTCTGTTTGTTATTTTCTTTTCTTGTCAACATGGTGTTTATGTCATATTTAGTTTCAGCAAATGTTTGAGATTTTAAGAATATTTATCTGTTCGTTCAGTATTTGTTTTCATGCATGTTAATGGTTGGTAATTACACACATTATTTAAAAATCATTTACATTTTAAAAAGAATCTTCAAATTATATCCCATGTCTACATTAGCAGTGTCTTGATTGGCATGTATATTTGTTTCTCTCTGTAGATGAAGGTCATTCTCTATTGGAGAACCCCCCTGCTGCTATAGGTGCAAAAAGTTGGAATCCGGTGCAAAAACTGGAATTTTGCTTAAAAAATAGCCTCTTACCCTTTGTTAACAGTGTTTAAAAATAAGATAATTGTTAGGGGTGATGTCAATTTTGGGGGCGGGCAGGGCACAGAAAACAAGAAATATATTTTAACAAGAATAATTATCTGCCTATAAATATTAATTATGACCACAGTGTTTCTAAACACAGGGCGTAGGGTAGTTAAAGTGATTGCTCCTCAAGGCAAAGACTCAGCTTTGGAATCTCACATTGGTATAATGTTTTCAGGGCATTCTTGTTGTCCTCTGCCTTCATATTGCTTGAATAATGCTTATATTGACATAAAACCTACTCACTCACTCACTCACTTCCCAGGCGCTATGTGATGACGTTTCCTGAAGCACCTCACACTGAGTTTGCACACAGCACCTATCTATTAAAGCCATACTTATTTGCTTGTGAATTATAAGTAATCATGCTCTTAAGTTTAGTGTATTTTCTATCACACAATGTGAACTACTGGCAAATTGTCTTTACAAAACTGTAGTGTCATTGTAAAAAAAAAAGTAATATTTTATGAGCATGTTTATTTTTAGTAATCCCAAAAATATTGGTGATCGGATGATGATAGAAAATAATTAACTAAGTATTTATTTTTTCTAAAGTCTAAGGTGTATTAGTTTGTCCTTCTCTTTAATACTTTTCAAATGGATTGGATGGGCAGGCTCGGTGACATGGTTGATAACTTGTCAGTGTACCCTGATGGCATGGATCGATGCTCACAATATCAATCACTGGTTTGTCTGTGCCAGTCTCGATTATATGCCAGTCTCGATTATATGGCTACACGACAATTTTAAGTGTCTAATGTTCGCATTTCTTCATCATGTTCATGACTATGAACACATTCTTTCTGACTTCTATATGTTTGAACAAAGCTAAAACTTCAGTCAACTTCAGTGTATGCATGACCACATTGTTTTATACGTGTATCTAAATACATTCTGCCAGGGCTACTGTCAAACTATTCCCAATCGGACATTTTGTACCTATCTCTTGAAACCAACAGCGGGTACCCGGGTAGGGTTGGGTATTAGGGGTGTGGGTACCCGGGTAGTAAATCTGGACTCGGCCCAGCCCGACAGTGTACCCAGATGTTTCAGAAAATAAGAGGTACATGAGCTAGACTACCAATTGTCAGACTTTCATTTTTGTGGAAGCCTCGGTGGCTGAGTGGGTTAGATCGCTGACTTTGTGTTCTGGTGATTAGGTGCCTCACTCTGGCGGTGTGGGTTCGAATCCTGGACGGGACTCAACCCCCAAAATTCTGTACTTTACTAAGAAAGTGTAAACCCAAATATAAAATTTGTTTCTGTGATATAGCTGGAAAATTGCTGACTGCTGTGATATAGCTGGAATATTGCTGACTCCTGTGACATAGCTGGAATATTGCTGACTGCTGTGATATAGCTGGAATATTGCTGACTGCTTTGATATAGCTGGAATATTGCTGACTGCTTTGATATAGATGGAACATTGCTGACTGCTGTGATATAGCTGGAATATTGCTGACTGCTATGATATAGCTGGAATATTGCTGACTGCTTTGATATAGATGGAATATTGCTGACTGCTGTGATATAGCTGGAATATTGCTTACTGCTTTGATATAGCTGGAATGTTGCTTACTGCTCTGATATAGCTGGAATATTGCTGACTGCTGTGATATAACTGGAATATTGCTGACTCCTGTGACATAGCTGGAATATTGCTGACTGCTTTGATATAGCTGGAATATTGCTGACTGCTGTGATATAACTGGAATATTGCTGACTGCTGTGATATAACTGGAATATTGCTGACTGCTGTGATATAACTGGAATATTGCTGACTGTTGTGATATAGCTGGAATATTGCTGACTGCTGTGATATAGCTGGAATATTGCTGACTGCTGTGATATAACTGGAATATGTCTGGATGCAGCTGAAACATATTTACTCAATTATTCAGCTTGTCTCTAGGGAGTTACAAGTTTGTTTGAGTGTTTAGAAAATCAGACCACTATACAAGAGCTTGATACTGATTTTACAACAAAAAATTAGACTAAACATGCTAAAGAAATAATAATAAGAATAATTCAATTCTATTCACTGACTCAAAGAACATGTAAGGATTTAGAAAGTGTCATGGTTGAGATTCTTTTCTTAAAAAAAGTTAAATTTTTAACCAAATAATTCAGAAATAATTCCTTGCTAATAGGAACGATTTGAGTCGGCGAGCTGGGTCTGCGACAAGTCAGTTAATGATTAAAGGAGCCAGAAAATCTGTAGAAGAATGAATAAAAATGTATATATTATTATTATTATTTGAGATTTTTCCAGATTTTCTTGGTCAATATGCTAACACCTGCCTTACCTCTAAACATGCTATACACCCGCCTCACATCATTGTATTGTCCCAAAGTACATACGAAAGACAATTGGCTAAATCTGTTGCCCTCTTTCTTAACTTGAATACATACGTCCTATACATTATGAGTCCTTCCAAACACACATGCTTTATGGAAAACCTCAATTTACATAGATACCTTTATATAGGTCTGTGGTTAAATAAAAATACATTTAAAATACTAAATGCTTCACCATGCTCAGATTTGTTAAAGATTTGGATGAAAATCTATGAATTAATTTGTTGTGGCCTATGACATTGACGGCAAGAAAATTACAAGATTATTGACAAATTAGAGAAAAAAATAATTGTTTTTGAAATGTGATCAGGATGTTATTATTTTCTGTTTTGCATACGTTTTGTTTGGCTAAAATATTATGAAAAAGTCATCCAACCTGAAACATTCAAATATCTTTTTGCGTTTAATGAATGCTACATTTTACATAAAGATACATCAAACTAGTCGCCCTGAGCTTGCCCTGGGGGTGATGACATTTTGTGTGACATTTTTCCACATTTTGTTTCAGAGCGCAAGTATCGCGAGGTGTGCTGGGAGCTTGACTCGCGGGGCCAGGTCGGGGAGACCATCTTGCATCTGTGTCTCCTCAACTCCTCGGCAATCCATGCTGACCTGGCCAAGCGTCTTCTCCGACTCTACCCTCAACTGCTTAACGACATCTACAATGGAGAGGAGTACTATGGTGAGTGTGGGTGGATGGGCCGTTGTGGGTAGGGGCAACCATCTTGGGTGTAGGGATCAACGTGGAATGGGGACCAATGTGGGTCTGAGGACCAATGTGGGGGAGGAGACCATCATGAGATGGGACCAATGTGGGTGTTGGGGACCATCACTAGCTGATCACTATTGGGGGCACTATAGAATACCCAGTGTAAATATAGTCACAAACAATATTATGGTGTCATGAGAGCTTTACTGACTTGTTTCAGTATGATGTTTCCAACAGCTGTTTCAAGTTTCATGTCACCCATCCGGGTTAAAATAGGGCTTCAGCAACCAATGCTTGCCGTAAAAAGTGACTATGCTTGTCGTAAGAGGCAGCTAATGGGATCAGGTTGTCTGGCTCACTGACTTGTAGGATCCATGTCATCGTATCCCAATTGCGTGGATCAATGCTCATGATGTCAGTCACTGGATTGTCTGGTCCAGACTCTATTATTTACAGACCGCCATCATATAGCTGAAATATTGCTGAGTGCAGTGTTAAACAACAAACAAAAAATCAAGTTTCATGTAGTTAGTAAACATAGAAATGATTTTGTTACAGTATTTCAAGTCGTTTTACTAAATTGTATATTTGAATTTACTTGAACCTTACAATAAGCCTAGACCAACTTCATTTCATTATTTCACAGACTTTGTTTTGCAATATGCATATTTATGCCCTAAAAGAAACTCTTGTCTTGCCATGAATTTCCATACAAGGACATACAATGTTTAAGAACATATTTCAATCACGCAGACCATATTTCTTTTCATTTCTGGTTTTAACTTTGCATAATTAACCATAAATTTATCCATGACCAAGAACATATCGTGTAAGGTAACATATCTACCATAAGATTATGATAATTATATTTATGAAATAAATATAATATAAAAATAATATTCAAATCATTAGAATTGTTTGTAGTGTTCATGTTCACATAACAAATATAGAAAATATTCATATTCATGTGTTGAGGTTTTGAAAAAGAAATATAGATTATTCTCTGTTGCTAAGACCATGCTGATGTTTCGTCCCCTCCAAGAGACGGACAGAAGGGTTTGGGTTTCGTGCACCTGTGGGCGGCCGGCCTCAGGTGTGTCTCTGTCTACCTGTCCCAGGTGTGCCGCTGTTGCTGTCTACCTGTCAGTGTCATGCCCCATGGCTGTGCACCTGGTTGATCTCTTCACTCACGAGTTTAACATATTTTCCCAGTGTGATATTCATAAGGCAAAGGCCAATTTATTCTTGTGTTTTATGGATGGTCTGACACGAAATTTTACTTAAGTTATCATTGCGCAAGATTTATTACCGTATTTGCCATATTTATAAAGCACCCTTCTCTAATCTAGGCCAATCTGTAAGTAACCTGTTTTAAGCGCCCCCTACCAAGACAGAAAATGTACAGGTCTGTCCATATTTTCTTGTGAATAATTACTTTTTTACAGGAAACAACGCCACAGAAGAGTATAGAATTGTCTAGTAACTAATTTTGATTTATTTTTTTAGTTTCATAGCTGTTTGAACCAGGGGTCCGGAAAATTTAAAATCCCAATCGGACATTTGCATTTATGCCACGCCCTCTTCAAACAGCGTATTTTAGTACGACTTTTTACACACAAATTACAAGTTGTTACGTATTCATAATATGATGAATTATGAATTGTTTCAATTTAAATTGTTTAATTCACCGGACAATTAATAACAAATAATATCATTTTAGATATATATGGAAAACATACGTTTGTTTCTGTTATAATAACGATCTGTTAACGTTGTGAACGGTCTAATTAATATTCATGAGTCTGCTCAAGTGTACGTGTTGTAACATTTGGATCGAGACTATTATCCCATATTTGGTTATCACGTGACCTCATGGGAAAAGGTTTTTTTTAAACTAAAGATTATTTAAAAACAAGACATATAATCATAAATCCTAAACTATCGTTGATAGCAATAGTTATTTGAATACTTTTTCAAGTGTACTTAATTATTGACCATAAAAAAATTTGATATCGATTGTCACAGAAAGCAAAATGGTGGTCAATCAAGATTCAATATACGACTAGCTACTGAAAACAATAAAATCTGCAAATCCTCATTGTATGTCAACCAAGTGAAAGTCGTTAGCCACGACTTACAAAATGATCATTCAGACTTTGAGGGTTTGGCAGATCCGCTCGACTGATCTGCATCGGTCGACTGGCTGTCGTCACGCTTGTCTGAGGTTACGTATCGTAGCATTGTGAGGATAATGAGGTACATCGATGATGCAAGGTATTTATGTACAGTTGTAAACACATTTTACTCAAATTAACAAGAGGTCACGCTTGTCTGAGGTTACGTATCGTAGCATTGTGAGGATAATGAGGTACATCGATGATGCAAGGTATTTATGTACAGTTGTAAACACATTTTACTCAAATTAACAAGAGGTTCTCAGTAATTAATCCTCGATTAATCAGTGTCAACTCAGTTTATTGCCTATTACAGTGATTGACCGATTGGACTATCATTGTAGGTACGATGTATTTACAGCAATCAAAACAAACAAAGCTTGTCAGTGTAGATAATCTTCATTGTGTTACAACTGCAGACAGAAACTGCTCAGTCCTAACTGTTGATCATGTCCGGTCAAAATTTAAGAATGTCCGGACAATACTTTTTAAAATGTCCGGACAGAAAAATTTAAATGTCCGGTAAGCAATATTTTAAACCGGACATTTGAGATTCCCAATCGGACATGTCCGGCGCATGTGACGGTTTCCGGACCCCTGGTTTGAACTATGTTTGTTCACTACTGCTCAAGCTCTGACAACAAATTTAACTCTTTGGTTTTAAGAAGTGCTCCCTCTTGTCATTTTTTTAAACATCCTGTGTGCTTATTACAACAAATACAGAACAACAGTTATGTTTAGGAACACATTACAACAGTTATGTTATGAAATACATTATACAACAATTATGTTTAGGAACACAATACAACAGTTATGTTATGAAATACATTATGCATTAAGAATACAGAACAAAAGTCATGTTTAAGAACACAGTAAAACAGTCATGTTATGGAACACAATACAACACTTATTTTTAAGAATACAGATTTCAAAACCCAGAGTTGCAAATAATTCCTGTACGACCGTCCATCATGGGTTAATTTCCAAAAGGACCGGTGAAATACAAAATCTACTGGGCCTGTGGATGGTGGTATATTTTCTGTCATTTAGCAATACACATGTCTAAATTGTCTATTGTGTACAAAAACTAAACAACCCTAATTCAAGTTTGATGTAACAGACAACAGAAAAAGTTGTGCATGAAGTTTGGGACTGGCAACTCTTGACAAAGACTGGTTAGAGTTTCAAGTAGCCAGTCATGTGGTCTGGGGGAAATGTAATGTAAGTCTGCAACACTAGATACATATTGGTCACAATGTCTTGTAGCACTGTTCCTTATCAGAATAAACATAATTTATTATTACTTATTATTAGAGTGAGTGAGTGAGTGAGTATGGTTTTACGCCGTTTTTAGCAATATTCCAGCAATATCACGGCGGGGGACACCAGAAATGGGCTTCACACATTGCACCCATGTCGGGAATCAAACCCGGGTCTTCGGCGTGACAAGCGAACGCTTTAACCACTAGGCTACCCAACCGCCTCACTTATTATTAGATGTTTTGGGAAACTTGGCCTACTGAGCAAATTAAAGTAGCTCTGCTGAAAAAAACCTTTTTGATAGCTCAATTTTTTTCTTTTCAAATATGAAAATCATCATTTCTGTCTGTACTTAATTATTGGATGAATTTTTTGAAATCCTATCCACCCTACGCTAGTTTTAATGATGTTTTTTAAGATTCGCAGCTGTCATTAAGTACCGGTATGTTATTGGCTCTCTATTGTTTGTCACCACATGAGAACCACTGTTAAAAATAATTGAATACCGTAAACATGTTAAATGTTATGAACACACAATGCCATTTAGAAAGTGGTCAAATGTAACAAATGTTATATTTGGGAAAACACTTTCTGAATAAAGTACAGATTCTCATACTTTTTTGGTTGAGTCCCGTCCGGGATTCGAACCCACACTGCCCGAGTGAGACACCTAATTGCCAGCACACAAAGTCAGCGATCTAACCCACTCAACCACCCAGTGTGGGTTCGAATCCCTGACGGGTCTCAACCCAAAAAAGTACAAGAATCTGTACTTTACTCAGAAAGTGTTATCCAAAATTTGGTCTGATGAAAACGACACTATTCATTCACATACAGTTAAAAGTCAACAATATATCTGGCTTCAAACCCTATTTAAGAATGTTGCTCAAACAATCCGATCGAGGACACCCACACATTCATTTTAAAACTACCAGGGTAAATATAGATCTCCACCATCCTCTGCTCCTCTGGAATCATCAAGCTACACACAGGGTTAATTTTAAGCTACGTAATTGCGTTATTCTCACCCTTTAAGTTTTCAATTGGTGCATATTTAAACTCCAGACAGGCCATGGTGGCATACAGCCTATTCCTGGCATTGCAGGAATAAGTCATTCAATGAACAGACAGTTGGCCAAAACAAGGAGTGTGATTGTTGAGGTGTGAATGGAAAGGGCAGACAACATACTGGGACAGGTTGATTCATCATTGATGGCAAGTCAGAGTCTCAGAATAACTGATGTGTTTGGAGTATGTGGGCGGAGGGTGATAGTTGAAACAGTTAAGAATGAACATCAGACTCACAGAATCAATACCAGTCTCATTAAAATCAGATCTTTTACCCTGACACGATACCTCTCTACGTAAATCACACCAGGTCACTTCAGAACTCTACTTGAACTAATTGACTGCCCAAAAATAAAAGAAGGAATGTGGGTTCTTGACCCCCTCAGATGTCATCATTTTTAACGATTCAGCTTCATTTCTTTACAAACTGGATTCATAAATTTTGATCTCAACAAAGGAAAATACACACAGAACACAATATTTTCGGTTGTAGTCCCTTTTGTGTGAGATGCCATGGAACTCAGACATGACAGTGTGTATAAATTATCCATGACAATTTAATTGTGCAGTCTTTATTATTTATGTTAGGAACTGCTCAATATGGTTCAATTTAAAAAATACAGAAATCAGATATGCTGGTTTGAATGTTATAGTCATTTGTGCAGGACATTTAGAAGTCTGACACTGATTGGGTGATTGGAAAGGTCACCTGATATGACCTATAAGTATATTTCTTAAATTTATCTAATAAACTTAGTATCAATCCTTATTTTTTTTACCCATGAAGATCTGGGGTCACCAGCAACCCATGCTTTCGGTAAAAGGCGACTATGCTTATCGTAAGAGGCGACTAACGGGATCGGGTGGTCAGGCTCGCTGACTTGGTTGATGTATGTCATTGATCCCAATTGCAAGGATCAATGCTCATGATATTAATCACTGGATTGTCTGGTCCAGACTCGATTATTTACAGACCGCCGTCATATAGCTGAAAGATTGCTGAGGGCGGCGTAAAACAACAAACCAACCAACCATATATTTGTTGTGTTATTACTCTGTGTTGTGACTTGGGGTTGTCAGATCATCAAGCAGACAGGAGTGAAAATGATTATATTGTATGTTTGTTTGTTTAACCCCGCACTCAGCAATATTCCAGCTATATGATGGCGGTAAAAAAAAGGATTATAATGTAATTGGTATCATTACATGACAGAAGCTGAAAAGGAAAAAAACTGTTTCCTTCTCACACCATGATAGAGTGAATGAATCTGAGTGAATGAATAAAAAGGTGTCTTTTAACAATATAATTTAGATTAATTATTCATGAATTTTAGTTCTCTTCACATTGCCTGCTGTAAGATATGTATTGTCCCACTGATGACAACTAAACTCTGCTGTCTACATTCTGAGCAGCTTTGGAGAAACTGTACTCTGTATGAGGTGGGAAAATGACTGGAGTGAGTGAATGAGTGAGGGAGGGAGTGTTTGTTTTGTAGTATTAAGTTATATCGAGGCATGTCAGCTCTATGTTTTGTGTGTGAGGAAACCCAAGGTAATGCAGGTTGTTATGACCGGTGTGTGAGTGAGTGAGTGAGTGAGTGAGTGTTTGTTTTGTAGTATTCAGTTATATCGTGGCATGTCAGCTCTATGTTTTGTGTGTGAGGAAACCCAAGGTAATGCAGGTCATTGCGACTGTTGAAAGCCATGAGTTCGGGTACCCGACCGAAAGTGGGACAGTTTTTGAGTTTGACTTCTTCATCTGTGTTAAATGCTCTATAACATGTATGAGCCTACTTGTGTGTGAACTATTGAACAAACTTGTTGTGAGACATTGTCCCACTGATGACTACAAAACTCTGCTGTCTATATTCTGAGCAGCTTTGGAGAAACTGTACTCTGTATGAGGTGGGATGTCTGGAGTGAACGAGTGAGTGAGAAATTACTTCACAGTTGCTTCTCTTAGTCATGCCAGGATCCTATCATTGTGGGCTCAAAAAAGATTTATTTTCATTATATTTCTGTTCTCTTGTGTTTCACAAAAGCAGGAAACATCGAGAACATCATCAAATTGAAGTTTCCTCCCACATAAAGATGACCAAGGCAGAACTGAAATACTCACTCACTCACTCTCTTGTTGAAGGTGAGAACTGCCTCCACATGGCTATCACCAATGAGGATCCAGCTATGGTCAAGTTCCTCCTGGACCTCGGTGCAGACTACCATGGCCGCTGCTGTGGCAACTTCTTCTGCCCCGATGACCAGAAGGACTCCCGGACGGACAGTCTTGACCATGAGTGTGTGCAGGTCTGTGAGAAGACAAACTATGAAGGGTGAGAAAGGACCAAACTATGTCAAGGCTGCATAATGTTACAATAGTATTGTAATATCATCCCTGTGTTAACAAATATAGCATCACAGCGATACATTGTTGATAGATACGCAAGAAGAAAAAACATCTATAGCATATTACATCGATACATTGTTATTGATAGATACACAAGAAGAAAAAACATCTATAGCATTACATCGATACATTGTTGTTGATAGATACACAAGAAGAAAAAACATCTATATCATTACATCGATACATTGTTATTGATCGATACACAAGAAGAAAAAACATCTATAGCATCACAGCGATACATTGTTGTGGATAGATACACTGCAGGGGAATAAACGCCTATAGCAACACAGCAATACATTGTTATTGATAGATACACTGGGGAATAAACGCCTATAGCATTACATCGATACATTGTTATTGACAGATACGCAAGAAGAAAAAACATCTATAGCATATTACATCGATACATTGTTATTGATAGATACAGTGATCGCTCGCTATTGCGCTCTTCGATAAAGCGCTACTTCGGTTATTACGCGCGGTAACGCATGGCTCCCAAAATTTATGTACACTTTTAATACTGAGAGTTTTACACAGACATGATTGTATTGTTGTTCGTTGTTTATTTGCACATAACGCTTCTCATTGCATAATCAACGGTTTATCGCTGAATGGAGTTCTAATAATCTGTTTGAAAACATCCGCGGCAGGTCCCGGAAATTCTACTAGTTAACTTTTCACACTATACATCCTTTGATCTTAGAAGCGCATGCATGCAATAAAAGAGAACCACAAGTGAAGTTTATATTCTTAATTAGTGGGCAATCCAATTTAAGGCTAAACTGTCACACACATGTAGTTGCTGTCACAACACGGCGGTCATTCATTTCGTAATCGCGCTTTCGTAACATCGCCTGTTTTTTCCCCGTAGTTATAACAAGCGATTTCATTGGATTAAAATTTGTTTCTAATGACGCTTTCTTGCCGAAATCTGCTACAAGTTTCGTGATTGGTCAATTTTGAGCACGTGACCTCAGGCAGCCAATCAAGCTGTGATACAAAGCTCGTGTTTGATAAATTTCAGAAGTTGGCGAAAGATTTTTTGTTAAATCGTGTTATTCTGAACGTTTTAAGCAGGAAATCACGATATATATTAAAAATATGGAACTTTGCGAATGTATCGTGCTAGGTTACGAGCTGTGACAAAGATTTTTCATGCATATATTTTTGCATTAAACGTTGTGTCCGAGCCGAGAATTCAAGGCGACGAAAGCCGAGATGTCATTTGACTTACATTACACGCGATCGCACGAAACGATGGAAATAATAACTTAGATGTAAGTTTGATTACTTTTAGATATATTTTTGTTGATTTTATTTATCACTTTGTATAATATATTTAAAGATTTGCTTAAAATAGTCTTTATTTTGCTCTTTGACATGTTCGATGCGGACCCGTTGTCGAAATGTGTGTCCGAGAATTTTATTTTCAATAACATCGCGGGAAATAGTGAATAATTTTTTAATTTATTGATAAAAACTGATAAATTAGAATGGAATACGTATTTCAGACATTGTGAAATATGACAGATTTAATAAATGAATGATATTACAGGTAGATCTAGGTCTATAAAAATATATACTATTTTGACGTGACGTGAGATAAACACATAGGCCTATTGATGATTTGAGATTTGCCGAGCGCGCTCCCCCGCCTCGGCCTCGGTTAAACGGCTCATCGTCTATAACGCCCACCAATTATTTGGACCCCATTGGTAGCGCAATAGCGAGCGATCACTGTACACAAGAAGAAAAAACATCTATAGCATATTACATCGATACATTGTTATTGATAGATACACAAGAAGAAAAAACATCTATAGCATTACATCGATACATTGTTGTTGATAGATACACAAGAAGAAAAAACATCTATATCATTACATCGATACATTGTTATTGATCGATACACAAGAAGAAAAAACATCTATAGCATCACAGCGATACATTGTTATTGATCGATACACAAGAAGAAAAAACATCTATAGCAACACAGCAATACATTGTTATTGATCGATACACAAGAAGAAAAAACATCTATAGCATCACAGCGATACATTGTTATTGATCGATACACAAGAAGAAAAAACATCTATAGCATCACAGCGATACATTGTTATTGATCGATACACAAGAAGAAAAAACATCTATATCATTACATCGATACATTGTTATTGATCGATACACAAGAAGAAAAAACATCTATAGCATATTACATCGATACATTGTTATTGATAGATACACAAGAAGAAAAAACATCTATAGCATATTACATCGATACATTGTTATTGGTAGATACACAAGAAGAAAAAACATCTATAGCATTACATCGATACATTGTTGTTGATAGATACACAAGAAGAAAAAACATCTATATCATTACATCGATACATTGTTATTGATCGATACACAAGAAGAAAAAACATCTATAGCAACACAGCAATACATTGTTATTGATAGATACACTGGGGAATAAACGCCTATAGGATCACAGCGATACATTGTTATTGATAGATACACTGGGGAATAAATGCCTATAGCATCACAGCGATGCATTGTTGATGGATACACTGCAGGAGAATAAACGCCTATAGCAACAGCGATACATTGTTATTGATAGATACACTGGGGAATAAACGCCTATAGCATCACAGCAATACATTGTTATTGATGGATACACTGGGGAATAAACACCTATAGCATCACAACGATGCATTGTTATTGATGGATACACTGGGGAATAAACGCCTATAGCATCACAGCGATACATTGTTATTGATAGATACACTGGGGAATAAACACCTATAGCATCACAACGATGCATTGTTATTGATGGATACACTGGGGAATAAACGCCTATAGCATCACAGCGATACATTGTTATTGATAGATACACTGGGGAATAAACGCCTATAGCATCACAGTGATACATTGTTTTTGATTGATACACTGGGGAATAAACATCTATAGCACCACAGCGATACATTGTTATTGATAGATACACTGGGGAATAAACGCCTATAGCATCACAGCGAAACATTGTAATTATACAAACTATGAAGGGTGAGAAAGGTGCTGCATAATGTTACAATCATATTTTCATATTATCCCTGTATTACTAGTCCCGTATCCCTGTTACAACTGATCCTCCTCCTCCACCTGTGATTACACAACTCTGCTGTCTATATTCTGATCAGCTTTGGAGAAACTTCATTCTGTATGAGGGGGGAGGTGGATGACACAGAGGGTACACATTGGTCACAGCCCTGTTCCTCATGAGAAAAAACAGCTTTTATTCCTTAAGATGTGGCCTAATGAAAATAAGCTTTTGTTTTGGAAAACCTGGCCTACTGTGCAAAATAGCTTAGAATTGTAAGGTTGAAGAGGAAATTAAATGGATTGGATGGTCAGGCTTGGTGCTTGTTGTTCACAATATCAATCACTGGATTATTTACAGGCTGCCGTCATATGGCTGGAATATTGCTGAGTGTGGAATAAATAACAACGAAAAACCAAGGCTACTACAGTTAATTAAAGCTTAAGATTTGCACTTTTAAACTTTTAAGTGTATGCGTTGCTTGTATATTTTGATAAAGCTATGTTTTCATTACTCTGGACTTTTCAATAATGCAATTATGTTTTATAAAATGCTTCTTTCTAAAGATGGTAGGGGCGGTCGGGTAGCCTAGTGGTTAAAGCGTTTGCTCGTCACGCTGAAGACCCGGGTTCGATTCCCGACATGGGTACAATGTGTGAAGCCCATTTTCTGGTGTCCCCCGCCGTGATATTGCTGGAATATTGCTAAAAGCGGCGTAAAACCATACTCACTCACTCACTCACTAAAGATGGTAATAAATGTCATACTTTACATCATTTACAGTGAACAATGTTTATACACTGAGTTTCAAAGCTGTTGTAAGTATCTATCTTGTAAAGCTTTGTTTGTGTTTTAGCCATGTATATTTGGGTGAGTACCCACTGAGTTTTGCTGCCTGCCTGGGTCAGGAGGAGTGTGTGCGGCTGCTGATCGCAAAGGGCGCAGACCCAAACCTTCAGGACAACAATGGCAACACCGTAATGCACATGTTGGTAATTCATGACAAGAAGGTAAATATTACATCCATAAATTGTCATTGATAGATACACTTGGGGAATAAACATCTATAGCATCACAGTGATACGTTGTCATTGAAAGATACACTAGAGGAATAAACATCTATAGCATTACAGTGATACATTGTTATTGGTAGATACACTTTGGGAATAAACATCAAAAGCATGACAGCATCACATTTTGATTGATAGATACACTATGGGAGTAAACATCTATCGCATCACAGCGATGCATTGTTATTGAAAGATACACTAGAGGCTATAGCATCACAGTGGTATATTGTTATTGATAGGTACACTAGAGGAATAAACATCTATAGCATTACAGTGACACATTGTTATTGAAAGATACTCAAGAGGAATTAACGTCTATAGCATCACAGCGAAACATTGTTACTATGAACTAAACAAATTATGAAGGGTGAGAAAGGACAAAAATATGTTAATGCCGCATGATTTTGCTATAATATTATCATATTATCCCTGTATTACTAGTCCCGTATCCCTGTTACAACTGATCCTCCTCCTCCACCTGTGATTACACAACTCTGCTGTCTATATTCTGATCAGCTTTGGAGAAACTTCATTCTGTATGAGGGGGGAGGTGGATGACACAGAGGGTAAACGTTGGTCACAGCCCTGTTCCTCATGAGAAAAAACAGCTTTTATTCCTTAAGATGTGGCCACAATGAAAAGAAGTTTTTGATTTGGTAATAAACATCTATCGCATCACAGCGATGCATTGTTATTAATAGAGACACTAGATTAATATGCATCTATAGCATCACAGTGGTATATTGTTATTGATAGATACACTAGAGGAATAAACATATATAGCACCACAGTGATGCATTGTTATTGATAGATACACTTGGGGAGTATACACCTTTCACATCATAACAATACATTGTCATTGATGGATACACTATGGGAATAAACATCTATAGCATCATGGTGATACATTGTTATTAATTGTTAATATCTACTAAATATTTTTGTAGATGTGTTCATTCTTTCATAATATTCCCTTTGTTCTTTCTTTTATGGTTAAGTCTCTTCGTTCTTTCTTTTCTTAAGAGATTGTCATTAGGACTAAGATGACAACTGAGGTGTATTAGTTCAGTACAGTGAAACCTCATTATTCCAGACTCTGTTAATCTGGAAATCCCACATTCTTGACGGTTATTGTTAACTTGTTTATTATTAATTGGACGTAGATGCTTCTCCATGATATATTTATCATGACTGGTTGAGGTAAAATAAGGATCCTTTTGAGCCGACGGGAAATGTCAAATTTTAAAGTTCCAGGAAACCTTTTTTATTAAAGTTAGGAAACATTTTCAAATGGATGACAACAGCCTTTCTCCTTTCTTACTCTTTTGGACACAGTCAAATATGGCTAAAATAAGTGAAAAACAATACAAATTCAAATGATAATCTAAGTATAAACAAGTCCAAGACCAGAAATATTTACCAGATCTTTGTAATGGGGTCAACAGCTTGCTGAGGTTGAAATATTAGAGTTGGGTGTGTATGGTTTTAAGCGGCTTCTAGCAATGTTCAAGCAATATCAACACCAGAAATAGGCTTCATACATTGTGCCCACTGGGCCTTCGGCGTGACAGGTGAACGCTTTATGAAATATTAGAAAAAGACGCCTCATGAAAACCTCTAAAATCAATCTTTTTTTCGACTTTTTCACACATAATGTCTTTGCCTTGAAATGAACAGAAGTTTAGTTCTCATTCATATAAGCATATGTCATAACTTTCATTACCATTTCTTAAAATTTTGCTCAATTCAAGAATAATGCAGATCTCATGGGTCAAAAAGGGCTTCCTCTGTTGACAAGGACAATGTCACCAGGAATGGTACAGTCTGGATCAATGAGGTTTCACTGTATAGGAGTTTGATGAATTTAGACTAAATGAGGTGATTCATTGGAGAATTGTTACTTCCAAACACCTTGTCATCTTTTGTCACTTGAAGGTTCAAGATCCGGCTTTCATGATGTACAAATTTGTATTTCATGATGTATTTTTCATGTGGAATTTCTTTTTTCTAAAAGTATTAAATATTTTTACCCAACACTGTGCAAAGATGTTAATTTATCAGCGAAGGGGAATTTCAAACCTCGTAAAACGACTAAATCTTTCATCTGAAAAGATGTTGAGAAGAATCGGGCTCTACATTTCATAAAGGTGTCGCTGTGCAAAGAGAGCTGTGAACAAGTCTTACTTTCATTGCACTTGAGGTGGAAAACTGTGGCATCACTTAGCTTGAGGAAATCAGTGTGTCTGTTCTGTCACACTCAGTATCATGCATCAATGATCAGTGTTGAATAAAACATTTGGCAGTAATTCTGCTTCATAATATAAAGTTTATGTTTCATGAAAAATGATCCAGATTCACAAAAAAGTCAATGAGAAATGTCCATCCTCCAGCTTTGAACTTGAACCTTAAGAATATTAAAGAAATTAGAATAACCATCTTATGGGGATAATTCAAACAGAGTTATCTCCCCTGCATTGTTCTTCACTTTTTCACTTTTTCACATACCTTGGAAATATTCCTTTTTCTTACTACTAGACAGATAAACACCAGGATATAAAGGTTTGTAACTCCCTGCTTGTCAACCAGTTTATAGGAGAGTATTATTACTGATTGTGTCCTGCATGTATCTATAGACTAACCGCTTCATAATAACTGTCCCCTAGTACGTGAAGATGTCCAAGCTCGAGCATTAGAGTTACACACTACTGAAAACACGATAAAGAACACCCATACTCAGAAGACTGTGTTGCAATACCCACCAGCCATAACAGATTAATTACATGTATAGCCATAATAAAACATTGGGTGTTCTTTAACTTCTTTTGAGTAGGATACAAGTATAATAGTATATGAGTTGGTTGCATTTCCAAATTATTAAAGCTGATTTTTAGCAGTCATGTCACATGTGATAATTAGTTATCTTTTTTTTTATGTGTAATAATCATATCATAAATATAAGTTTTTGAAAGGAATTTAGAAGTGATACACATGAGGAAGAGAATTTATGGATGTCAACTTCTTTATTATGAGGAACACAATGTTTCGGAGTATATGCTTACTCCTTCAACAGGTAAATGAAGCTATGTGTCAGAGCTGCTATGTTAAATGATGTGAAAAAAACGAAAATTATTTCCAAGTTTTTCCCTTACCGGTATCTAGTAAGCTGTTTTCAGTCTTGATAACTTTATGTTTGTATGAACAAAGCTTGGCTTGGGGTCTTAAAATGTGGGAATAATTAGGTTTTTCTTGTTAACTCATTTCAACTAACATTAACACAATCTGGTCTCTTAATTCTCTTCTCTTCCCTCTCAGTTCTGTGATAATTGGAAGCCTGTTTTAAAGTGTTTAAATAACCTCATGTCAAAAACATTCTGTTATAATTTCCCTGAGTACACTGGTCTGTTAAATAGGAAAATAAATCACTCTATCCAAAATTCTATTTTTTCAAATTTAAAAAAAAAATACATCTGCAAATTTTTCTCATATGCTTTTTTGTTAACACTTTTACAAGATCGGGGGCTTCATAAGCTCAAACAACCTGCTCCCCCCACACCAACACCACCCACACCAGCACCGCCCTGGTGCCAACCCGTCCCCTCCCCAATGCTGGTCTCCCTATACTAGACAAGCATGTATGGCTTTAAGTGTTGCTAACTTACTTACTTACTTATATTGGAGATTTTACGTGCGCTTTCCGACTGCAGCGTATTTCGCACAAGTGTTGCTTACAGTGTCCCACAACAAATACCAGGTCACAGGTGAAGAGTAATGTCCCTTTGTATGTATGAAGCTGTTCACAGCAATACTCATCCGGAATGTAACTACATAAGTGCTACAGGAGTTGTCATTGCTTGAAAATGATCAAAATCATACCAGAGAGTGTCATATATATTGTTACTATGTACAATAAAAATAAATCTTTAAGATTGGCATGTTTTGTTACCATGACAACCTAGCTTCAACCCTTCAACCTTCTCTGTAGGTTCCGATGCTGCTGGTAAGACATGCTTGTCGATCACTTTGATACCTGTCAATCACTTTGATACCTGTCAACTCTTTGATACCTGTCAACTCTTTGATACCTGTCAACTCTTTGATAGCTGTCAAATTCACTCAGATACCCGTCCATTACGTTATTAAATCAAATCAAACTGCATGTTTTTATTTCAGTGTTGTAAGTTGCTTATTTCCGGTTAATGCATGTATTTGACAAATAAGATATTAACTTTTAACCCCAAACAAACTTGATGTAATTTCTTGTGTATATATGTACTTGTTTATAATATAGTACTGAAAATATTTACGGAAGTACTTGCAAGTATAAAATGAGGTGTTAATTCATACATTCTATTTAACTATTTCAAGCAGAGATGATTTTATGTCAATTTGTATATATTACTTGGCTATATACTTTATATTGTTGAAATGTCTTTCTAATCAATACTAAGTGAATAATTTTTAGTGAACTGAGCAGTGTTGAAGACAGTCAAATTTACTGTTGAATCTGCACCTGACATTTTACTAGTGTGTTTTGCATGGGGGAATATTATCTCAGCACTAACAAGTTACATCGTCATGACTTCATGGGGTTCTATGCACTCTGTTCCTCCATCACTCGTGAATACATATGTGAATACATACGTGAATAAATACTTGAATACATACGTGAGTGAGTGAGTGAGTATGGTTTTACGCCGCTTTTAGCAATATTCCAGCAATATCACGGCGGGGGACACCAGAAATGGGCTTCACACATTGTACCCATGTCGGGATTCGAACCCGGGTCTTCGGCGTGACGAGCGAACGCTTTAACCGCTAGGCTATCTGACCGCCCCGAATACATACGTGAATACATACATGAATACATACGGACACTTCGCAGAGTCCTGTGAATATCCTCAATATCAGGTAGCGATAGGCTTTGCGAAAAAATACAGTTCGTCTTATTTGACTTACATGAGATGTACACATCCTAATTTCATTTCCTGGCTTAAGAAGAAGAGTTAGTAGCTAGTCCTGGTTGATTGAGACAATAATGTTCCCATTGTTTGTATTTTCTTTCAGTTTTATTCTGCTCCAGTTTGAGTGAGTGAGTTTGGTTTTACGCCGCTTTTAGCAATATTCCAGCAATATCACGGCGGGGACACCAGAAATGGGCTTCACACATTTTACCCATGTAGGGAATTAAACCCGGGTCTTCGGTGTGACGAGCGAAAGATTTAACCACTAGGCTACCCGACCGCCGCCCGTGTTCGAGTTTGAAGGAAACTTGAAACTTTGAGAACTGGTTCAGAATGATAGCTATCGAATACTACTGGTCATTGAGGACTGTCATCATTTGATTTTTACTTGTCCATAAAAGCATAATTTAGTAGTCACAGGCGAGCAGACTTGATTGAATTTTGAAGACTGGTCACAACTACATATGTGTTCACGGGTGATGGACGAACGTAATGTATACAAGCCTGTGATGTATTGACGATGAACACATTAATACAATCACGGGTGTACACCTATCAATACATTGTAGTGGATCACTAGCGTCACAGTTTCTGTAAGGAATGTCACAAGCATACTAACATGTTATGGGACGTGAGTGTGTGAGTGGGTCAGGTTTATGTCAGTTGTCATAGTATAACTGCAATATCACAGCAAGAGACTTTAGAACCGGGCTTCACTCATACCAATTTTAAAAATCAAAATGTTCCTCCAGAATCTTAATGGTGGATGTCAGATCACAGCTACAGATTCAATGAGTTATTGAACTTGTATTGAAACATACATTTGCAATGAATCTGTTTGTGTTGTAATTCACTTCATGAAGTGTTGTAAGTGAGGAAATTGTTGGAAACATCCGTGTCAGATCATCGACAAACCCAAGTGGATAAATGACAAAGTAGGTAATTGATTTACAACATTACAAGTGTCAACAGAATCAGTGGAATGTTCAAAGTAGTCCATGGTTCTGATTATTTTGCATTTGCACTGCATTATTTTGTTTTCAGGAAATGTTTGACCTGCTTCATGGTCTTGGTGCCAGGCTGGACATTAAGAACCGACAAGGACTCACCCCTCTCACTCTGTCTTCAAAACTGTCCAGGAAAGATGTAAGTCAGTTGAACTTGTTTAGAGTTAAACACATTATCTGTCCCGAGTGAATGAATATTGTTAATCCAGAGCCTTTGGCAAGGGTCGATCTTCCTGAGGCAAGGGAGTTAACTGACTGTAAAAGTCCAGTTTCTACCTTTGCTGAACTAGGTTGGAATTTCGGAGTTACATTTTGGGTGGACTAACGAGTCTGTGCATAGTCCAATCAAAATTGTGCAATGAACTGAGATCATGTTCGTAAACAACATGCATTTCAAAGTGCAGATTTTTGTAGACTGCAGGATTTACAAAGCATCTGTACCATTAACTGGGCATCGGCAGATATTTTCCAAATTTTTTCATGTTTTTATTCAAGGTGCTCAAATGATTTGATGCACTTTGAGAGGTAGGACCTGTATTATTACAATATGGATCTTGATTATTGATCAGAAACCGCCATTTTGTTTGAAGCAAATACAAGTGATATGAGAGGTGGAATCTGATTGGTCAATAGGAGGGACATAGAAGGGACATAACTCATAATAGCCACTGGTGATGCTACAATCGAGCCATGAAATTCCAGTGTAGTTCAGCAAGGGTAGACTTTTGTGGGCAGTTAACTCCCGTGCCTCAGCAGTGTGAGTGTGAGTGAGTTTGGTTTTACGCCGCTTTTAGCAATATTCCAGCAATATTACGGCGGGGGACACCAGAAATGGGCTTCACACATTGTACCCATGTCGGGAATCGAACCCAGGTCTTTGGCATGACGAGTGAACGCTTTAACCACTAGGCTACCCGACCGCCCCCCTTGCCTCAGGAAGATGATGTCAACCCTGCAAAGAAACTTTAATGAAGACATCCTATTGTTCAATGTAATCAATGTAATGTAACCAATTTGTGCCATCATGAACGATGGATGCTGTCATGTCATATTTTTCTCAACATTGAAGCATTGTGATGTATTATGACTTCCAACTGATCAATCACCATGGAGAATTGTTCAAATTATGTGTGCAAATTTCAGAAAGTTATTACACATGATCGTTCAGCCCTCATGGGAAAAGTTTAACTTTTCATATAAAATTATTCAGATGTCACAGAATTTGGACCCTTTTGGGGATTCCAGGGCTAAATTGGTCTCATTAGGCTCTGTGATTGGTTGATTGCTTGTCATTGTACCCCAGTTGAGTGGATTGTTGCTCGTGATATCAACCATTGGTTTGTCTGATAAAGATTTAGTTGTTTACATGCGACTGTGATATAGCTGGAATAGCTGCATCATTAAACAACATTCTTTCATGGGGATTCTGAGTTACAATAGGTCCCGAGCTACCTCTCCTGGTTGTAAGACGCAACCGAATTGAGCAGGTGGTCAGGCTAGGTGACTTAGGTGATGATGTGTTATGGTTAGGGATGGATCGTTGTTCACAATCAATCACTGACTGGTCCAGACTCAATTATTTACAGGCCACCATATAGCAATACAACAAGCAAACAAACAGCATATACTGATGAGAACTGTGGACAAAGAATATGGAAAGTTAAAATCAGCTGTCAGTATTCTCTTTCCACTGTTAACTCACCCACTCACCCACTCACTCACTCACTCACTCACCCACACACCCACCGACTCACTCACCCACACACCCACACACCCACCGACTCACTCACTCACTCACCCACACACCCACCGACTCACTCACCCACACACCCACACACCCACCGACTCACTCACTCACTCACCCACACACCCACCGACTCACTCACCCACACACCCACCGACTCACTCACTCACTCACTCACTCACCCACACACTCACTCACTCACCCACACACCCACCGACTCACTCACCCACACACCCACACACCCACCGACTCACTCACTCACTCACCCACACACCCACCGACTCACTCACCCACACACCCACCGACTCACTCACTCACTCACCGACTCACTCACTCACTCACCCACACACCCACCGACTCACTCACCCACACACCCACCGACTCACTCACTCACTCACCCACACACCCACCGACTCACTCACCCACACACCCACCGACTCACTCTCACTCACTCACTCACCCACACACTCACTCACTCACTCTCACACTCACTCACACTCACTCACTCACTCACTCACTCACTCACTCACTCACTCACTCACTCTCACTCACTCACTCACCCACTCACTCACTCACTCACTCACTCACTCAAGCCTGGAATCCCCATTAGTGATGCTGTTAATGCTGTTTCAGATGTATGAGCACATCCTGGAGATAGAGCGCGAGGTGTTCTGGCTCTTTGGGAATGTTACCTGTGCTGGGTACCCTCTGGAGGACATTGACACCATCTCGTCAACAGGGGAGATCAACAAGGACTCCGCCCTCAATCTCATTGTATACGGGGTGAGATACTTTTGGTATTTACTGTCAGTATGACATTATAACAAAGTAAAACTTGTTTTCCAGTCTCTTGGCCAGAATTTACTCATTCGATATCTTACCCAGGTAACACTTTGTCCAGGTAAAACTTTCTTCAGGTAGCACTTACACAAGTTCTAACTTTCTTCAGGCTGAACTTTCTCCAGGTAACACTTTTTCCAGACAAAGGTTTCTGAGGTAGAAAAGGTAGAAAAGAGAAGAATCATTTCTGAGTTATGTTTGACCTTGACCTTGACCTTTCTTGACCTTCAGGAAGAGGAGGGTCACCTGGACATGATGGATGGTTTGGTGGTCAACCTACTGAAGGAGAAATGGAAGACATTTGCCAGATTCAGGTAGACTCTCCATCAGTATCCTGGAATAGACTCCCCCCCCCCCCTCCTCCACTCTGCTATAAATGTTTATTTGTAGTGATTTCGGGGCAGAATTGGTCCCAACTCCCCCATGCTTGTACCCCTGTAGTGATACCAGGGCATAATTGGTCCCCACTCCCCCATGCTCGTCACCCTGTAGTGATACCAGGGCATAATTGGTCCCCACTCCCCCATGCTTGTCACCCTGTAGTGATACCAGGGCAGAATTGGTCCCCACTCCCCCATGCTTGTCACCCTGTAGTGATTCCAGGGCATAATTGGTCCCCACTCCCCCATGCTTGTCACCCTGGAGTGATACCAGGGCATAATTGGTCCCCACTCCCCCATGCTCGTCATCCTGTAGTGATACCAGGGCATAATTGGTCCCCACTACCCCATGCTTGTCACCCTGTAGTGATTCCAGGGCAGAACTGGTCCCCACTACCCCATGCTTGTCACCCTGTAGTGATTCCAGGGCAGAACTGGTCCGCACTCCCCCATGCTTGTCACCCTGTAGTGATTCCAGGGCAGAACTGGTCCGCACTCCCCCATGCTTGTCACCCTGTAGTGATTCCAGGGCAGAACTGGTCCCCACTACCCCATGCTTGTCACCCTGTAGTGATTCCAGGGCAGAACTGGTCCGCACTCCCCCATGCTTGTCACCCTGTAGTGATTCCAGGGCAGAACTGGTCCGCACTCCCCCATGCTTGTCACCCTGTAGTGATTCCAGGGCAGAACTGGTCCGCACTCCCCCATGCTTGTCACCCTGTAGTGATTCCAGGGCAGAACTGGTCCCCACTACCCCATGCTTGTCACCCTGTAGTGATTCCAGGGCAGAACTGGTCCGCACTCCCCCATGCTTGTCACCCTGTAGTGATTCCAGGGCAGAACTGGTCCCCACTACCCCATGCTTGTCACCCTGTAGTGATTCCAGGGCAGAACTGGTCCGCACTCCCCCATGCTTGTCACCCTGTAGTGATTCCAGGGCAGAACTGGTCCGCACTCCCCCATGCTTGTCACCCTGTAGTGATTCCAGGGCAGAACTGGTCCCCACTACCCCATGCTTGTCACCCTGTAGTGATTCCAGGGCAGAACTGGTCCCCACTCCCCCATGCTTGTCACCCTGTAGTGATTCCAGGGCAGAACTGGTCCCCACTCCCCCATGCTTGTCACCCTGTAGTGATTCCAGGGCAGAACTGGTCCCCACTCCCCCATGCTTGTCACCCTGTAGTGATTCCAGGGCAGAACTGGTCCCCACTCCCCCATGCTTGTCACCCTGTAGTGATTCCAGGGCAGAACTGGTCCCCACTACCCCATGCTTGTCACCCTGTAGTGATTCCAGGGCAGAACTGGTCCCCACTCCCCCATGCTTGTCACCCTGTAGTGATTCCAGGGCAGAACTGGTCCGCACTCCCCCATGCTTGTCACCCTGTAGTGATTCCAGGGCAGAACTGGTCCCCACTACCCCATGCTTGTCACCCTGTAGTGATTCCAGGGCAGAACTGGTCCCCACTCCCCCATGCTTGTCACCCTGTAGTGATTCCAGGGCAGAACTGGTCCCCACTACCCCATGCTTGTCACCCTGTAGTGATTCCAGGGCAGAACTGGTCCGCACTCCCCCATGCTTGTCACCCTGTAGTGATTCCAGGGCAGAACTGGTCCCCACTCCCCCATGCTTGTCACCCTGTAGTGATTCCAGGGCAGAACTGGTCCCCACTACCCCATGCTTGTCACCCTGTAGTGATTCCAGGGCAGAACTGGTCCCCACTACCCCATGCTTGTCACCCTGTAGTGATTCCAGGGCAGAACTGGTCCGCACTCCCCCATGCTTGTCACCCTGTAGTGATTCCAGGGCAGAACTGGTCCCCACTACCCCATGCTTGTCACCCTGTAGTGATTCCAGGGCAGAACTGGTCCGCACTCCCCCATGCTTGTCACCCTGTAGTGATTCCAGGGCAGAACTGGTCCGCACTCCCCCATGCTTGTCACCCTGTAGTGATTCCAGGGCAGAACTGGTCCCCACTACCCCATGCTTGTCACCCTGTAGTGATTCCAGGGCAGAACTGGTCCCCACTCCCCCATGCTTGTCACCCTGTAGTGATTCCAGGGCAGAACTGGTCCCCACTCCCCCATGCTTGTCACCCTGTAGTGATTCCAGGGCAGAACTGGTCCCCACTCCCCCATGCTTGTCACCCTGTAGTGATTCCAGGGCAGAACTGGTCCCCACTCCCCCATGCTTGTCACCCTGTAGTGATTCCAGGGCAGAACTGGTCCCCACTACCCCATGCTTGTCACCCTGTAGTGATTCCAGGGCAGAACTGGTCCCCACTCCCCCATGCTTGTCACCCTGTAGTGATTCCAGGGCAGAACTGGTCCGCACTCCCCCATGCTTGTCACCCTGTAGTGATTCCAGGGCAGAACTGGTCCCCACTACCCCATGCTTGTCACCCTGTAGTGATTCCAGGGCAGAACTGGTCCCCACTCCCCCATGCTTGTCACCCTGTAGTGATTCCAGGGCAGAACTGGTCCCCACTACCCCATGCTTGTCACCCTGTAGTGATTCCAGGGCAGAACTGGTCCGCACTCCCCCATGCTTGTCACCCTGTAGTGATTCCAGGGCAGAACTGGTCCCCACTCCCCCATGCTTGTCACCCTGTAGTGATTCCAGGGCAGAACTGGTCCCCACTACCCCATGCTTGTCACCCTGTAGTGATTCCAGGGCAGAACTGGTCCCCACTCCCCCATGCTTGTCACCCTGTAGTGATTCCAGGGCAGAACTGGTCCCCACTACCCCATGCTTGTCACCCTGTAGTGATTCCAGGGCAGAACTGGTCCCCACTCCCCCATGCTTGTGGGGAAGCTGACTTCAACTGAAGGTTTGTACCACTGTTCAGTGTGTAGATGTAGTTCAATGGGCTTTGACATTATTGTGAAATTGCATGTGTTTCATCATGACATTTTACAGATTCTATCGGCGATTCCTCTGCTTTGGTCTTTATTTCCTGACCTTTGTCGTGGCCTTTGCCCTCCGACCCGGCAAGGATCTGTGTGCCTACGCCAACTCGACGACGACGCTGCATGGCTGTAAGCCGATGAACGAGAACAGGACGATGAACCCGTGCTACCTTTTGCAACCATACAGGACCAATGACATTGTGAGTCAATAAACTACTGAGGTGACAACTAATGACTAGATAGTGTGCGTCAATAAACTTTCTACCATGACATTAATGAATGCTTGATTCTGATTGGTTAAAAAGAGGTTTCCTTTTAAAAAAAACGTGCGTATGAATCCATAGATAGTCTACATATAGATACATAGAAAATGGCTGCCGATCGATCACCCCCATTCGTGACCAACTCGTGTTATTCCGGGACAAGCCGAATAGTGACTTGTGCCCCTCTCATGGCCAATTTTTGCGACCGGGTTCCGTCTTAGCGCAAACGGGCATACCTAAAACAATTGTCAACTCGTTGCGTAATGGTTCACACATATTTCCCCATATATTATATATATTTCAGATGCAATTTAAAGCACATCGGGACGTGTGGAATTATACCGTACTTCACTGTGTCTTGGGTATATTTTTAGATGCAGGACATATATAAAATCTAAAATTATTTCTGAGGGATTCTTTGATGAAGAACTTGAAATCATACACGCATTCTGATTGGTTTGTCGTATTTTCGCACATAACATTCATCGATAGGGGGACGAGTCTTCTTGCAGGTTACGGAAAGGGGTGAGTGGTGATGAATGCGATCACCCCCATATGAACTGTAAAACGTATATATATTTCCTCTAATGCATGCTGGGTCTCTAATACCAGCCAGGTTTCTAATACATGCCGAGTCAAGGACTTTCGCGAAATTAATAGAAGGCATAGCGTCAAATAGAAGAAATACGGTAGTTTGATATCGGATGTTTTGGGCGTTGGCTGGGCCGCAACCCTGACTGCTGATGACATTAAAAGATTTAACGAAGGCATATCTTTTGCATACAGATGAAATGTTTATGAAACTCATGACTAGATAGTGTGCATCAATAAACTACTGAGGTGACAACTAATGACTACATAGTGTGAGTCAATAAACTACAGAGGTGACAACTAATGACTACATAGTGTGAGTCAATAAACTACTGAGGTGACAACTAATGACTACATAGTGTGCGTCAATAAACTACTGAGGTGACAACAAATGACTACATAGTGTGAGTCAATAAACTACAGAGGTGACAACTAATGACTACATAGTGTGAGTCAATAAACTACAGAGGTGACAACTAATGACTACATGGTGTGAGTCAATAAACTACAGAGGTGACAACTAATGACTAGATACTGTGAGTCAATAAACTACTGAGGTGACAACTAATGACTAGATACTGTGGGTCAATAAACTACAGAGGTGACAACTAATGACTAGATACTGTGAGTAAATAACCTACTGAGGTGACAACTAATGACTAGATACTGTGCGTCAATAAACTACAGAGATGACAACTAATGACTAGATACTGTGAGTCAATAAACTACTGAGGTGACAACAAATGACTAGATACTGTGAGTCAATAAACTACTGAGGTGACAACAAATGACTACTTAGTGTGAGTCAATAAACTACAGAGGTGACAACTAATGACTACATAGTGTGAGTCAATAAACTACAGAGGTGACAACTAGTGACTAGATACTGTGAGTCAATAAACTATTGAGGTGACAACTAATGACTAGATAGTGTGAGTCAATAAACTACAGAGGTGACAACAAATGACTAGATAGTGTGAGTCAATAAACTACAGAGATGACAACTAATGACTAGATACTGTGAGTCAATAAACTACAGAGGTGACAACAAATGACTAGATACTGTGAGTCAATAAACTATTGAGGTGACAACTAATGACTACATAGTGTGAGTCAATAAACTACAGAGGTGACAACTAATGACTAGATACTGTGAGTCAATAAACTACAGAGGTGACAACTAATGACTACAAAGTGTGAGTCAATAAACTACTGAGGTGACAACTAATGACTACATAGTGTGAGTCAATAAACTACAGAGGTGACAACTAATGACTACATAGTGTGAGTCAATAAACTACAGAGGTGACAACTAATGACTAGATACTGTGAGTCAATAAACTACAGAGGTGACAACTAATGACTAGATAGTGTGAGTCAATAAACTACAGAGGTGTCAACTAATGACTACATAGTGTGAGTCAATAAACTACTGAGGTGACAACAAATAACTAGATAGTGTGTGTCAATAAACTACTGAGGTGACAACAAATGACTAGTTACTGTGCGTCAATAAACTGCTGAGGTCACATCACATGACAAGATAGTGCGAGACAATAAAAACTTTGAAGAAAACCTAATTACAAGATAGTATTGATGATCAATTTCTTTATAAATACAAAGAGTAAGATAGGCATATACACTCAGGTGGTTAAAGCATCTTCCCTAGGCAAGATTATAAAAGTCCAGTTTCCACCCTTGCTGAACTAGGCTGGAACTCCTGAGTTACATTTTGACTGGACTAACAAGTTTATGCATGGTCAAAATCGCATAACGAATTTAGACATTCAGTTTGTAAACAACATGGATATCAACGTGCAGATTTCCGTTGACTTCAGGATTTACAAAGCATGTGTACAGCTAACTGGGTGTCGACAGATATTTTCCAAATCTTTTCATGTTTTTAATCAAGGTGCTCAAGTGATTTGATGCACTTGCGGGATGGGATCCGTTTTATTACGATATCGATCTTGATTATCGATAAAATATCGCCGCCATTTTGTTTGAAGTAAATGCCAGGGATTTGAGAGCTGGAATCTGATTGGTCAATAGGAGGGACATAGAACAGGTTTAACTTGTAATAGCCACTGGTGGCAACAACCGAGCCTGGAAATTTCAGCCTAGTTAGGCAAGGATGGAAACTGGATGTTACAGTCAGTTAATACCATTGCCTAGGGAAGATGGATTTAAGTGATGTGATTACAATATCCAATACACAATTGTAGATTTCTTAATACTTAATAACATGGAACTTCCATGTTTGTCTGTGCAGGTGCGGCTTGTCTTGGAGTCGATGGTATTGATTGGCGCCATGGTCTACATATTCCTGGCAATGAAGGAGATCTACCACCAGGGCTTTCGTATCTTCTTCACCACACTGGTGAGTAAGTGGGTGGATGAGTGAGTGTTTGGATGAGTGAGTGAGCTAGTGGATGAGTGAGTGAGTGAGTGGATTGGTGAGTGTTCGGATGAGTGAGTGAGCTAGTGGATGGGTGAGTGAGTTGGTGAGTGTTCGGATGAGTGAGTGAGCTAGTGGATGAGTGAGTGAGTGGATTGGTGAGTGTTCTGATGAGTGAGTGAGCTAGTGGATGGGTGAGTGAGTTGGTGAGTGTTCGGATGAGTGAGTGAGCTAGTGGATGGGTAAGCGAGTGAGTGGATTGATGAGTGTTTGGATTAGTGAGTGAGTGAGTTGATGGGTGAGTGTTTGGATTAGTGAGTGAGTGAGTGAGTGGATGAGTGAGTGTTTGGATGAGTTTGTGAGGTAGTGGATGAGTGAGTGAGTGAGTGGATTGGTGAGTGTTCGGATGAATGAGTGAAATGTATTTAACAATTACAGATAATACTTACTACAAAACTATGAATGTATATCCAAGGCATCAATGGTTTATCTTCCAGCGTGGTGCACCGGCCAAGGCGTTATTTCTGTGCTCCTGCATCTTCGTGCTGATGATGTTGCCAGGTCGAGCATTCTGTTTCCACGAGTACGAAGACATCATGGGTGTCCTTGCCATCCTCTGCACAGCGCCATACTCGCTGTTCTTCTGCAGGTAGGCGACACGTTTATCTGGGCTTTTTCTGTCAGTAAAAACAAATTTCTGAACGTTTGTGTATTAACAATATCATCTTTGACCTGTCTGATTGTGTGTCATTGTACCTCAATGTGTGATTTGACTGATTGTGTGTCATGTTACCCTCAAGGTCTGGATCGCTGCTCATGCTGTAACCCACTGGTTTGCCTGGCCCAAATTCAAACGCTGTTATATAGCTAAAATATTCCTGACTTTGGCATTAAAGAATTTCCATTCATGGTGTCCCTGCCTAGAGCCTCCCCTGTGATGTTGTACAAGTGATGTCTTGTCAAACATTTCAGATGGTTGGCAGACGTTTCAGACGGTTGCTGTGATGTTGTACAAGGGACGTCATGTCCCATGTTTCAGATGGTTGGCAGATGTTTCAGACAGTTGCTGTGATGTTGTAACAGTGACGTCAAGTCCCATGTTTCAGACGGTTGCTGTGATGATGTAACAGTGACGGCATGTCCAATGTTTCAGACAGTTGCTGTGATGTTGTACAAGTGACGTCATGTCCCATGTTTCAGATGGTTGTCTGACATTTCAGACAGTTGCTGTGATGTTGTAACAGTGACGTCAAGTCCCATGTTTCAGACGGTTGCTGTGATGATGTAACAGTGACGTCATGTCCAATGTTTCAGACAGTTGCTGTGATGTCGTACAAGTGACGTCATGTCCCATGTTTCAGATGGTTGTCTGATGTTTCAGACAGTTGCTGTGATGTTGTAACAGTGACGTCATGACCCATGTTTCAGACAGTTGCTGTGATGTTGTGACAGTGATTTCATGTCTCATGTTTCAGAGGTTTCCGTATTGTTGGCCCGTTTGTAGTGATGATCTACAAGATGATCAAAGGGGACCTGCTGAGATTCTTCATCATTTATGCTGTCTTCGTCATCGGCTTCTCGCAAGGTAGGACACAAGTCCTCGCACAGCTTTCAGAATACTGAGCTCCATTCCACGAAGCAATCGTAGAGTAACGACAGTCAGATGTCTATGTTAATGTTAGGGAGGTACAATCACCTTGGCACGACGATAGTTTATCAAATGGACCACTGGTCCTTACATTCCCAGAAGCAGGTCTTAATGTAGTCCTCTCATAGCTCTCAGAATACTGACCTACACATTCACAGAAATAGGCCACCTCACTATTGAGATACATACTATATATTACCACCTTACTATTTAGATACATACCATGTCACCACCTTACTATTAGGAGACTTCCTTAATCACCACCTTAATACTGTGATATGTATGATGTCATCACCTTAATATTGAGATACGTACCATGACAGCACCTTACTATTGACATGCATATCATATATCACCACCTTTCTTTTGAGATACATATCGTATCAGCACCTTACTATTGACATACATATCATATCACCACCTTGACATTGAGATATATATGATATTGCCACCTTGCTATTGAGATATATTACATATCACCTCAATATTGAGACATGTATCATATCACACCTTACAGACCTACAGATAAGCTGCGTATTTGCGTAAAATACCCCCCAAAACTATTCAAAACCCAATTACTTTCAATTAACTTGTGTACAGAGACGCATGCCATAAATGAAATACTCAATTGTTTCAAAACGGCACTCGTAAATATCCAATGAAGCTTTTTCAGCATGCGTACAGCGGAGCTAATTTCCGAAACAAAAATATGAGCTAATTTAACTTCCGAGTCAATCCTATATTTAGAGCCGTTATATACATCTAAAGTATGATTTCATTTTTTTTAAATCTCAAAATGATTACTCATTTTGTGAAAAACCCAATAGAGTGATGAATAGATGAGTGAAAAGATATTGGTTACCCAATGAAAAGTGTAATAACCCAATTAAATTAGAAACTTTCGAGTAAAAATTCAATTGCTGAAAAGGTTGTCTGGAGCTCTGCCCCTACTGTTGAAATATGTATCATATCACATGGTGACCTTTCTACTGAGATACATGTCATATCACCACCTTAACATTGAGATATGTATGATATCACCACCTTATAATTGCGATATGTGCCATATCACCACCTTACTACTGTAATACATCATACCACCACATAACCCATTACCATTGAGATACGTATCATAGCACCACCTTTAACTAGTGAGGTATGTATCATATCACCACCTTACTTTTAAGATACGTATCATATCCCCACCTTCCTGTTGAGATACGTATCATATCCCCACCTTCCTGTTGAGATACGTATCATATCCCAACTTACTATTGAGTCACACATATCACCACCTTACTATTGAGATACATATCATATCACCACCTTCCTGTTGAGATACGTATCATATCCCCACCTTCCTGTTTAGATACGTATCATATCCCCACCTTCCTGTTTAGATACGTATCATATCCCCACCTTCCTGTTTAGATACGTATCATATCCCCGCCTTCCTGTTGAGATACGTATCATATCACCACCTTACTATTGAGTTCACATATATCACCACCTTACTATTGAGTTCACATATATCACCACCTTACTATTGAGTCACATATATCACCACCTTACTATTGAGACAAGTTATTTCATGATGAAGTGCATGGTTACAGCCCCAATGTCCACCATGACAAGGATCTCTTCTGTAACCTATATTTATGCTATTCATGACTCTTTTCTACTTTAAGACACATTAATACACAAACTCTATATGCTATTTTTTCAAGCTTTCTTGAAACTCTTGTATGTTCCTGCTACCAGCTCTGTATTAACATATTATGCCACCTTTCTTCCAGCAATGTTCATAGTGTTCCGCGGTGTGACTGCGACGGTGTTTGCTGATCCAGGGGGCGCTATAATGGGCATGTTTGTCATGTCGCTGGGCCAGTTCGGAGATATCTATGACTCCTTCATTGAGACTCAGTATCCCATCATGGGCAAAGTAGGCACCCTCCCATGCACTGCACTCTGTGTTGTGGCGCGGTTCCCCCCCTCCCCATTTTCACTGTTGCAGCATGTTTTAGATGTTCATGTCAAATAAGTGTTTGGTTAAGTTGGTCAATTAAAAATATTGAAACTTTTAACATGAGTTTCACTTAAATTTACACATAAGACATATTGTTTAATACAGGTAACATTTTCTCAGAAACTCAATCTTTGAAATGGTTGTGTCAAATTGTGTGACAGTTTAGCAGGTTAATAAGTTGGGTAATATATTAATTTAACATTGAAACCTTTGATATTAATTAATACTTGTTACTTCTTGCACATTAAACAAATGGATTAAACATTAAACAAATGGATTAAACATAGGAACATGTTCTCAGCAGTAGAATTCATGTCAGTCTTTAATCCATATGATTATGGTTGGATGGTATTTAGCTCACCTGACCGAGCTTCGTCTGGCATGCCTTATCTGGTGTGCGTTTTCGGTCATAGAAATATCTTCTCAGAAATTACTGAACCAATTAAGCCGAATCTTCAGATGCTTGTTCCCACCAGTTGTTCAAGAGGTTTGAATTGGATTTTCATTATGACTGCCACAGCAGTCTAAAAATTATTGCCATCTATAACTCAAACAGTTTGTTTCAAAAAGGAGAGACTTATAGAAGATTTCAAAGTAAAACATTCATAATTTGAGGTGAAATTATAACAAAGACATGTTGTCGACATGTTAAGCATTGTCATCATTTTTAAAGCTAAAATATCAATAATGGTCTTTGTGTTTTAATAACAACAACGAACTTTGGTAATTCAGGTTCTTGATGAGAGTCATGAAAATAAATGACAAGTATTTTAGTCATGTTGCTGAAGACATCTGGGAGGGACATCCTGTTTGTCGTTGACTCATGGAAAGTATATCGCTGTGGAACTTCACATCATACCATATATGGACATGGAATCCACCATACTATTATTTTCAGGCTGCTCCCTCCACTGCACTGCCCCCCTGCACATCTGATTGGTTGATATCCAGTTCCATGTTTAGCTTTTCATTTTGTCGCACATACCCATGCGTTTTCTGCTGTTGGTGTAAATATGATATGCCGCCTATACCTTGTTGATAATTGTATTTGTTATATGAAATATAATAATGGAGGTTTGTGTTGATTCATGAATATGTAGTTACACATTGATATATACATCTGATTAAATGGCTGTCATGCTTCCACCAATAGTATTCACATTCAAATTACCATTTTGTTGTGATGTAAAATCAAGATTTACCCCTCAAGTTGACAACATGTTGTCTGTTGAAATAAATGTATTCGAAATCATTTCTAAATTCAGACTTGACATTTCATCATTTTCCATCAATAATTGAATGTATACAATTAATTAGCAAAGTTTACGTTCAGAACCTACTTTCTGTGCTCTTAATTCCTCCTCAGTGTAAGCAAAGTCAGTGTCAAATTGCAGGAGGTATTTCAAACCCCCCAAAAGGCATTTTTTTATTACTTAGTTTGCAGATCCACCATTGTTCAAATAAAATGAAAAAAACAACAGTTTTTCACTCTCAGTGTCAGCTAACATATCGAAATGATGACAAAAAAATAACGATTAATCAGGAAAGGGAAGTAACTCTTGAATGGTCAAGCACTGTTACAATTCACCCTACCAACAAAAACAACAACAGCCAAAACCTATTTTAGCAAATATTTTTTATCTTTGGTGGAATGTAGACCAAGCAGAGACCATATACCGGCATAGATATCGGCATATGGTCTCTGGACCAAGTAGTAGAACAGTGCTTATCCCGCATCCACTAACCCACCACTGTTTTGTTTTGGTTTGTGCAAGTTTTGACATCTTGTTTCCAGCTATTTATGTCCCTTTCCGCAACAAGTCCAGTGTGTTTGCCAGTCCCATAGAAGCAATCTTTGGTATGTTTGCCATGTCCGTCGGTGACTTCGAAGACTTGTATGAAGACTTTGAAGTTAAGCTCCAAACTCCCTTTAAAGAACTGGCCGGAGTAAGTCGGTGGTAGGGGCAGTGTTGGGTCTTGTGCCTGTTGAAACAGTGGGTTATTCCGTTTATTACCCAATGTCAATAATCAATAAAATGAAGATGTTTGTCATTTGTCTATCGCAGAGTGAGTGAGTGAATTTGGGTTAACGCTGCTTTGGACAGTATTCCGGTTATATCACAGCATGTCAGCTTAATGTGGGAAAGTGATGCAGGTCTCAGACATTTACCACTTTGGTGATAATCACAGATTCCAGGATATTGTTATGTATGAAGTCATGGCTAATTAATGTCATTATACAGTATTTTACTGTGTGACATCATATTGCTTTTATTTACCAATCATTATTGGTATATGCTTGATGCAGAGATATGTAGGAATGTCATAGCCCTTGATCATATTAGTCTAGTGATTATGGTGTTTTCTTGATGTTGTAACAACTTAAAAATATGAATCCTAAACAGGCTTCAGTTGCAAGTGTAGACTAGTAGCCAGGTAAATACTATCTGATTATTAACCCTGCTTGTTGTCCCTTACCAGAGATCATATACCGGTATATGGTCTCGGCCATTACCAAAGCATCCCGTGCACGCCTCACCCTCACAAATGAGGGTTATCCTAGCTTTTCCTAACCCAGTGTTGTTGTCAGGGAGACCATTGGTACGAAGTTTGGCATAGTTTGTATAAATGATGATTGCCATCTGTTAATAAGTTTCTGCACAAAAATATCCGATACACACAGAAACATAGATTTCAGGTCAAAGCCAAATGTGTTGGTAATGTGCCACCATGGTGTGCCATGTGTTTATAATGCCACTATGGTGTGCCATGTGTTGATAATGCCACTGAGGTGTGCCTATGGTGTTCCATGTGTCGATAATGTGCCACCATGGTGTGCCATGTGTTTATAATGCCACTATGGTGTGCCATGTGTTGATAATGCCACTGAGGTGTGCCTATGGTGTTCCATGTGTCGATAAAGTGCCACAATGGTGCGCCATGTGTTGATAATGCCGCTATGGTGTGCCATGTGTTTATAATGCCGCTATGGTGTGCCATGTGTTTATAATGCCACTATGGTGTTCCATGTGTCGATAATGTGCCACTATGGTGTGCCATGTGTTGATAATACCACTGTGGTGTTCCATGTGTTGATAATGCCACTATGGTGTTCCATGTGTTGATGACGGGGGCGGTCGGGTAGCCTAGTGGTTAAAGCGTTCGCTCGTCACGCCGAAGACCCGGGTTCGATTCCCGACATGGGTACAATGTGCGAAGCCCATTTCTGGTGTCCCCCGCCGTGATATTGCTGGAATATTGCTAAAAAAGCGGCGTAAAACCATACTCAGTCAGTCAGTCAGTCCATGTGTTGATAATGCCACTATGGTGTTCAATGTGTTGATAATGCCACTATGGTGTTCCATGTGTTGATAATGCCACTGTGGTGTTCCATGTGTTGATAATGCCACTATGGTGTTCCATGTGTTGATAAGCCACTATGGTGTTCCATGTGTTGATAATGCCACTATGGTGTTCCATGTGTTGATAATGCCACTATGGTGTTCCATGTGTTGATAATGTGCCACTATGGTGTGCCATGTGTTGATAATGTGCCACCATGGTGTGCCATGTGTTGATAATGCCACTATGGTGTTCCATGTGTTGATAATGCCACTATGGTGTTCAATGTGTTGATAATGCCACTATGGTGTTCCATGTGTTGATAATGCCACTGTGGTGTTCCATGTGTTGATAATGCCACTGTGGTGCTCCATGTGTTAATAAAGACACTATGGTGTACCATGTGTTGATAATGTGCCACTTTAGTGTTCCATGTGTTGATAATGCCACTATGGTGTGCCATGTGTTGATATGCCACTATGGTGTGCCATGTGCTGATATTCCACCATGATGTGTCATGTGTTGAGTACTTAGAGAGTTTGCTTTCCCTAGATTCTGTTCATGGCCTATATGATCATGGTGACGCTGCTGCTGGTGAACATGCTGATCGCCATGATGGGCAACACATACCAGGTCATCAGTGAAACTCAGAAGGAGTGGTTCAGACAGGTAAAGATGGGTCGAGTGTTGTCAAGAGACCAAGTGACTGAGTTGGGTTTAATGCTGCTTTCAACAGTATTTCAGTAATGACATAGCATGTCAGCTAGTTGTGAGAGGAAGGCCCTAAGTGATGCCACTTACCTATTTGGTGAAACCCACGAGCATGGGAGTGGCGCTGACAAATTTAGAATCAGTGCGAATCTGCAATTCAAACCCAGTCAGATGTTTCTGGAATACCCTGAAGGACACATTAGATGATTGTGATGAGGATTGTAACTGTGATGTGATTTTGTGATGACTGAGATATGATTGTGTAGTGATTGAGATATGGTTGTGTGATAAATGAGATATAATTGTGTGATGATTGAGATATGATTGTGTGATGATTGAGATATGATTGTGTGATGATTGATATATGATTGTGTGATGATTGAGATATGATTGTGTGATGATTGAGATGATTGTATGGTGATTGAGATATGATTGTGTGATGATTGAGATATGATTGTGTAATGATTGAAATATGATTGTGTGATGATTGAGATTTGATTGTGATTGTTTGTTGTTTAACGCCGCACTCAGCAATATTCCAGCTATATGACGGCGGTCTGTAAATAATCGAGTCTGGACCAGACAATCCAGTGATTGACATGATGAGCATCGATCCATGCAATTGGGATACGATGACATGCATCAACCAAGTCAGCGAGCCTGACCACCCGATCCCGTTACGACAAGCATAGTCGCATTTTTACAGGACGCATGGAGTGCTGAAGAACTATTCTACCCCGGACCTCACTGGTCAGGTATGATTGGGATATGATTGTGTGATGATTGAGATATGATTGTGATGATGATGATGATGATGATGATGATGCCAACCTACTTCTTCAGTGGGCCAAGATCGTCCTGGTGGTGGAGCAGAGCGTGACAACAGATGAGAGACGCCTGCAGCAGTTCAAGTACTCCCAGCCAATGGCAGATGGGCGCCGGGCTCTGGTCATCAGGTGGCACCAGTCGGTAAGAATAAAGAACAAATTCAAAACCAAGACCAAACTTGAATAAAACACAAATATATACAAATCAAGCATGTTCACTGGCAGGCAGTGTTTAACTTTTGTTGCTGTTGTCGTCATGATGTTAGATCACTGTACGGTATGGTGGGTTGTAAAGGTCTGCAACCATCCTCATGTTGGACTCCCAGATCAAACTAATACAGTTGTTCTTCTTGCTCCCCTGTTGATGTCGTTGTTGTCAATGTTGCAGGAGAAGGAGAAGGAGGAGCTGAAGCGGCTACGTGAACTACACAAGCAGCAGCAGGAGAAACTTCGCCAACAGAAGCGGCGGCTCAGCATCAAGAAGCGGAACACCCCCAGTACACTGATATACCAGGAAGTCAACGAGGGCACTTACAACTTGTGAACTGACAAATCAGATTACAGCTAGTGTTTGAGCTGTTCAGTAAGATTATTGCAGAAGTTTGAAAAAATCTTTGCAAAAATCTTTATATTCCCAATTGATTTGCAGACAAAAGTTGGTCTTCTTACAGTGCATCAAATCCAAATATTATTCCTATCAATAATTGTTGACAAATAAGATATGTTGAAAATGTTAATAATAATATTTCTCTTAGAAGGAAATATTCAAACCGAAACATATTAAGTTCTGAAGAAAGGTTGTCAAATATACAATTAAGTAGAATCAGTGTACACTGAGTGATTCCTCCTATCACAAAACTAAACTCATTAGCCAACAAATATTCTGTCATATGATGGTTGTTTTAATTCTGCCACATTTCATCAACAAACCATCAGAATCTGCACTTCCCAAAATATGTCACATCAGCAATTCCTGTAACACACAAATTGGGATGCAGATAATAGTGAGGGGCTGCATGTTGCTTGGAGATATGTTGTCACACAAGTAGTATTCACTAATGCCATAAATATTGCCATAAATAATGCAATAAATATTGCCAGCTTCGTTTCAATTGCCTCTTGTCAATGCAATCTACTTGGCTGAGTTACTTCGAATTGCTGTTGCTTGGACTCAAGCTTAGTCCCTGTACTCAGTAAATCAGGAGCTAGGAATTTAAATCATTGCTTCATTGTTTAAGAAAAAATATTCCTGTTTGGGCTTATGGGTTTGAGCATTAACTGTGGTCATGTTACTCATGTTTTCAAGCAACACCTACTGATACTGAACATAATCATGATAATTCAAGTGCTCTTTTAGGCTTAAAAAAAATAATGGAATTGGTTCTCAGGCAATGGCTTTTGAAATTATTGCACGAGTGGGTGGTGTTTTTTTAATATTTTTGGGTTGTTCAAGTATGTAACCAAATTTTGTTAATAATTTCGGGGAAATCATTGTGTTCTTAAGTATTGTAGCATTTAACTGCTGGGGTCGTGTGTTTCAGACATGGAATGTTTAAAGATCTTTTTTGTTTTGAAAATTGAAATAAAAAAGAAACGTGCGACAGACTTTTTGATGATGCGGGAGGTGCCTGAGAACCAAGACTATTATGTTTTTAGCCTTATGTTTTTAATATTAATATAATCATTTTTGTTGCAAAATAATATTTGAATTATTTGTTTATGATTGTTAAATTTCATATCTTACTGCTGATATACACATTCCATCCATTTGATAATATTTTTGTATTTACCATTTATTGTATATACATGTTTATGTTTTCGAGATAGAATCAAAAGTGTGAACAGACTAGTCCTACATAGCAGCTCGCTCGGTGTGGATGAATCAGATCGTCCAAATGTTAGTATGTCGTAAGAAATTTAGATTGACAATTGTTTACATTTTGTGAACTAAAGTTTTAAAGAAAAATATCAAATCTTGGACATATGGACATTATTTTTGTCATTTTTAATCAAAGTGGGGTTTTGTCTGCGTAAGGATGGGGGTAGGTGGTGTGGTGCCCTGAGGTCATGAGCCAGCCAGCACTCTATGACCTTCCATTTCTAGTGAACAAGTTATTTTGGGGTAAAATCTGGGAACAATATTTTTACAGAATTTTACAAAAATCCATCCACAACCCCATTGCTAGTTTTTGTCACAAGTGATTTCTTCACTTCAGAGTGTAAACCACCATATGTTGTCACTGTCTCCTTCAAGGGATACAATATTACATTATAGGAATACAATGCTACATTCAAGTGGTACATTACTACATCCTCAGAGTACAATCTTACTTTCTAGGGGTAAAATATTACATTCTAAGAGAACAGTGTTATATCCTAGGGATACAATATTACATTCTAGGGGTACACTGTTTGCATTCTAGGAGTGCAATATTTCATTCTAAGAGTACAATATTTCATTCTGGATAACTAGATATAATATTTTTCTCCTAAAATGTAATATCCCTAGAATGTAATGTTGTACTCCTAGAATGAAAATTTTGCCCCCTAGAATGTACTATTGTTTTCCTAGAACATAACATTACATGGTACATTATTACATTCTAGGAGTACAATATTACATTCTAGGAGTACAATATTATTTTCTAGGAGTACAATATTACTTTCTAGAAGAACAGTAGTACATTCCAGGAATACAATAACACATTCTAACTGGGGGTGCACTATTACATTCTAGGAGTACAATATTACATTTTAGGAGTTTAATATTACATTCTATGAGTACAATATAACTTTCTAGAAGAACAGTAGTACATTCCAGGAATACAAGAACACATTCTAACTGGGGGTGCAATATTACATTATACAGTATTACCATCATTACATTCTAGGAGTACAACACAACGTATTTATGTTCTCCAAGCATGTCAAAATCCAGGGTAGCTATTGTTGATAATTACAATACATTCATTGACCTTATTTTTGTTATGATAATGGACTGTGCCTTTATTTTTTAGATTGTGTTAAAATACAGTGACTCCACTGACAACATGAATTTGTCATATCTACATGAATGTGGCCATTAAATTGTTGTAATCCTAGAAAGTATTTATGCCATAACTGTCACACTTGTTCATTTGCTTAGTTGAAAACTAGGGTACTGTATACTCTGTGTAAAAGGCATTATCATTTTATGCATTATTTTCATACTTTACTCTTTTTTGTTTTAAATTGACATTTTTACACACGTTACATGTCATTAGTTGTGATAATTTACATATAATCAACATTTGCCATGCTGCTGCCGTATATTCATTTTCAAAACAAAAATTACATTTAAATAGTAAAATAACATGTTTGTTATTTTGTTTTACGATGTAAAATTTAAAAAGAGAAAATATTGTTTCTTAAGTTATTATTGAAATAGATATTTGATTTATGTTTTGATTGTTTTTCGTATTTTAGAGAATTGTTTTGTGGCTTTGAAGGGAGCCGGTAATTGAGAATCAATAGTTATGTGACATTATATGTAAAATGAAAAGACAAATAAACCTGCTTCATCAGTATGTGAAAAGTTCTGTCTTTTATGCAGAAGGTGTCATCACTGAAAGAGCTAGGAGACGATTAATTGGTGGACAGGTTTGCTGACTTGGTTGATGCATGTCATCCTAACCCAATTTTGTGGATTGATGCTCATGATAACTGGATTGTCTGATCCAGGTTATGTACTCATGGGCCTCCGCTCCATTGACTTAAGAAGCATGATCATCACCGTCACATTGCGAAAACTATAGTATATAGTTGACTGAACCAAATACACATTCACATGTTGTCTTTGGGTTCAGTCAACTATATACTATAGTCAGCTGCCATTAGAGCATGGTGAAGATCCGGGGTTGAATAGGTCTCCAGCAAGCATAAAAAGGTGACTATGCTTGTCGTAAGAGGCGACTTAAGGGATCAGGTGGTCAGGCTAGCTGACTTGGTTGATGCATGTCAACGTCATATAGCTGGAATATTGCTGAGTGCGGCGTTAAACAACAAACAACAACAAGAGCATGTTGACATTCAGTCAGCCAAGTGTTTCAGCCTGCTCTCTGGATAACCAGGTTTTGCCAGCTCTTACCTTGAACTGGACTGAATCTGTCTCCATGTTGTTATGATATAATGTAATTAATATATGAAACAACCCTAAACAAGCAAGCAAACAAAATAACCCCAAAAATTGAAATTCTTTCCAGGCCTTTAAAACAATTATTTTAATAATGTATGGGAAACAAGATCTGCTTGTCTTGATGATCATGAGGTATTGGGGACCTGTTCTGACCTTGCATCCTCACAGGGAGACAGCATGAAGTATTGAGAATCTGTTCTGGATTGGAATCCTCACAAGAAGACAAACAGGATGTAATGTGGGCCTTTTCTGCTCCAGATCCCCCGCAGGACAACACGTAACGGACTTTCAATATATTCTAACATCAGGACATACTTTAAAATGTCTCCCATCTCATGAGAATAGTCTGAAACGTTTAGAGCTTAGAAAACCAAACCTGTATAACATATCATTAATGTTTGAAGCCCAGTTTGTCTTTTCATTCACAAAATCTAGAACTAATATGTTGGAACATATCTTCACATGTCTGTGTCAGGCATATTAATTATCAGCAAAGATTCACACTATCAGTGACACGCATTCAGCCGAATCACAGAGCTCGCCCAAGTCGATTCTTAACACATGTATACCTTACTAAGGACCAAGTTTTGGAATGACTGCACACTGAAACATGTACTGGTGTCAAATGTAGATGAGCATTGTTTTTCAGTTCGCATATTGTGGTACATACATGTATTCCTCTATTTGGAATTTCAATGCGACTTAATGAAGCTCACAGGAAACTAAGACAGTAGAAAAAGGGACATGCCAAGCACCAAGGCTGGTACGGCCACAGAAAGACCAGGAATTATACCTGAGCAGGTTCTATTTTTTCTTTCTGACCAATACGATACGTTATGTTCTCACCATGTGAATGGCGGGTGCTACCGGTATGGCAGGACATGCTTACCCTTTTCGCAAACACCTGGTGTTAACAATGATTTTCAGTCCTCCATTCATATAATTTTTACCTCTATTTTGCCTTTCGCGCACAATGGATTCTGTGGGCTAATCGAGACTGGTTATTCCCTGGCGTTGACGTTTTATATTTTCTAATATACGAGTGGCAGGATGGAATGAGAACAGCGGTCATTGTTGACAGTTAGCTGGTCAGCCTCCTGTGTGGCATCCCAGTGAGGACAATAACAGGAGATACATTTGAAATAACATATCTCATCCGTCACAAACACATGCTAAGTGAAGTCATTTGTTTATCAGAAACAACACGGGACGTGGTACACGTTAAACTGGGGAATTGCATCGGACATAATTTTGGTCACTTATTCGTCAAAGTTGGAAATGTAGTCCACGTGTCTACCACTAAGCATTTAAAACTTTTACTTAAGTTTTACCCTGATCAAACAACCTTTGTGCCAGAGTCGTATGGCGCTCATTGAAATCTTCACGTTCGACTGTACAAGATTGCATGACAATAATGGAGTGCCAGTTTAGAGAAATCAAAGATGTGTGTTCGTTGTTTATCGCTGCACTCCGCGATAGTTCAGCTATATGAGAGCGGCTTCTAAATAAGCGAGTCTGGGCCAGACAGTCCTGACCGCCTCTGTGGTCTTGTGGTAGAGCGTCCGCCCGGAGAGCGGAAGGTCCAGGGTTCGATCCCGGGCGTCATACAAAAAGACGTTAAAAGATTGAACTTGTTGTTACCCTGTCTGGCGCTCGGCATTAAGGGGCTAAAACAAGGACTGGTCGGCTCGGAGTCAGTATACTGTGTCTGAGTGGGGTAGTCATGTTAAACTGCGGCATGGTATCTCAGTGAGCTAGCACTATAAATCGGCATCAGTCCGGAGTAGTACAAGAAGCCACACACACACATACACGTCGCTATATAAGTGCAATAATCTTGGACGCGACGTTCAACCCAATTTCACCTCACCAGACAGTCCTGTGATGGTTGTTAAGAACAACAATCCCCGACGTCGGGGTACGATGGTACGCTATCAACCAAGTCCCCGAGGATGACCACCAGATCCATTTGGTCGGCACTAACACGAGCATACGGTTTAATCATATTTATTTTCACAAATTGTGAAAATGGATTGGTAAACAAGCGAAGAGCTTATGTTAATACCGCTCCATTACACATAGGACATGTTACAATAAATACATCAATGAAGGTGAGATGTAAAAAATGAGTTGTACATGCCAAGCTAAATGTGTATGTATAATAAATCTATTTTCAGTTTATATTGAACAATTCATTTAACTGAAAACCTGCCAGTTTTTAATTGGAAGTTTTGAATAGAATCTAATATACTGAACCACAAAAGAAACGTCACCATGGATAGATATATGAGAAACCTTATTTGTCCAAACACTGTAAACATACTTTGAGACATATTAAAAAGATGAAACTTGGCAAAACTGATCATCAAAGTTGAAATTAAAGTGTCAAATGATCTTAAAGTGAAAAACAACACTAGTCTCTCTAGCTGGAGGTAGTCTCTTGTTTCTCTCGCAGTGTGGGCACGGGCGTTATCATGCCGAATCTCGAGGTTGCGATGACGTGCCAAATGAGGTATGGAGTGTGGTCTCAAGGTTTGATCAATGTGCCGAGCTGCTGTGACACCACTGCCTCACCCTGGACCGATGCTCTAGAAGACCACAGAGCCGACCCTCTGTGCAGGACCAATTCCACCCCACGCCATGATGCTCGGACCACCCCACGAGTCTCTCTCAACAACACAATCTTCCGAATAATGTTTTCCATTGCGTCGCCAGACTCTCTCTGCCATCTGCTGTTGAGATACAGTAACGGCTCTCGTCTGAGAAGAGGACTCTTCTCCACTGCTGGTGGCGCCGATGCTGGTGCTGTGTTGCCCACTGAAGACGGTGCCGGCGATGACGTGGTGTCAGAATGGATCCTCTGTGTGGCCTGTGACAGTGGAGGTGTCTGCTGGAGCCTGTATATGGTCCTTACGTGGACTTGAAATGCATTGGCTACTTGCCGGGCGGTTTGTCAAGCTTCCAATCGTCCAAGGGCTTGGAGTCACTGATTACTTGTCAATCTTGGCATGTGGTAGCAATTCAATAACGAATGAATGTTATCCGATCTGGGTGGACTTTCATAGGGCAAGAAATGGGGGAACGCATGTGCATTTCAATTTGTACGGAACTCACGTACACCGGGTTACCATGGCTGTTGCCGTGATGCGTTTAATTTGGGCGATCGGTTTTATTATCATCTGCTTTGTCTTTTTATCATCAAGTTTCATTTTTCCGGACAAGGTAATGTTAAATTTGAGAAACTTTGACAAAAATTACCCAGATATTTAAATGACAACTTTTCACGCAATGTTACTTGGGGTGACGTTTCTTTTGCGGTTCAGTATATTAGGATTTGCTCTTCCTTACTCAAATACGAATTTCCGGTTAGCACTGTTTGCAAAGAATAACCATGTTGGTAAAAATACATTTCATTCCGAAGAACATAGTAATTTGTACACACACAAAAGAAGTGTAAAAGCATCTTCGGTATGATATCCACAGGAACAAGTTTTTGTATCCAAATATATCTATCATACTGATGTGCGTTAAGACCGCTGCAGCCAAGCCTGAGGCGACTGTGAATAATTTGACATAATCTGCTTCCACAATTTAAATCCCAGTGTATACCATTATCTCCCTTTACGTGAAGCAAATTCTTAAATTGTGTAACGGTCTCTGCCCCGTTAGGTTTTCTGGTAACATGTGGGGCGGTCGGGTAGCCTAGTGGTTAAAGCGTTCGCTCGTCACGCCGAAGACCCAGGTTTGATTCCCGACATGGGTACAATGTGTGAAGCGGCGTAAAACCATATTCACTCTGGTAACATATTCCAAAGTTGTGTTGTAGCTGGTATAAATGAATCTGCATAAGCTTTTGCTTTACACTTCACTGTTTGAAGATTAGTTTTATTCCTTTAGTCATAATTTGTGTTTTCCGAAACTGTATTAGGAATAAGCCTACAAAGATATTCCGGGGAGAACATTACCAGTTTTGAATTGTATCTTCTGTCTTTTAATGACTTACAATTTGTTTCATTGTAAATCTTCTGATGACTCGTACCCCGGACAGCGCCACATATGGATCTAAGAGCATCTAAGTGTAATATTCCCAATAAGTTAGCTTGTTCATTTGTACAGTTGTCCCAAGTATGACATCAATAGTCAAAATATTTTCCTGGGGACACATCTTCTAACCCAGAATGAGACTATGTACACATTGGAATGGTATTATCATGGAGCAAAGACGGAAAACCTGCTTGGTTAATGTCCCATTTTAACATTAAGCAATGCATTAGCAAGGCAAATAGGTTGTTATAACAATCCAAAAAGGATGTTATTTTCAACCGGCCTTGCTATTTGTCTGTGTTTTGACAGCACAGAATTGGCATGAATGGTGGTGTTATAGTCGACATA